CACCAGGAGTCTCCTTTGCCTTACTATCATCAGGCTTCCAGCCTCCTCCTCCCCATTTACCACCAGGAGTCTCCTTTGCCTTACTATCCTCAGGCTTCCAGCCTCCTCCTCCCCATCCGCCACCAGGAGTCTCCTTTGTCTTATCATCCTCAGGCTTCCAGCCTCCTCCTCCCCATCCACCATCAGTGTCCTGTTTCTTAGGACCCTTCCACGGGGGGCTCGGTATCCATCCGCCAGAACTGCCCTGTTCCTTGGAATCATCCGGCTTCTGGCCTCCTGAGGTTCCAGCTCCCACGGTGGAGCAGAATTGGTAGTCGATGCACCGACCACTTGCCAGGGCACAGTGCTCGCCATTGTAAACCTCACCTTCTTTGCATTTGGGCTCCTGCTTTGATACACAATCTTGGCTGGCTTTGTCAAACTCGGTTCCCTTGGGACACTGGGGACGATCATAGGCAACACAATGATGGCCCACCAACTTGAAGCCAGGGTCACAAGCCGGTTCTTTGTTTGAGACGCAATGCTCTCCATCGAGATGGGTATCCTTTCCACAAGAGGGCCGTTCGCCGACGCAAGCCTTGCCGTTGAAGGAAGTGCCAGGCTCACATTCTGGTGGATCTCCCTTGACGCATTCGTTATTCTTGGGCATATATCCACCAGGACACTGCTTTTCCCCTGTTCGGACACACTTTCCTCCTCTGAACATGAATCCGCCGGGGCACTGTGGTTGGTCGGGGGATTCACATCGCCCATTGACCATTTTCATTTTACCAGGGCAGCGCACACTGACACTGACGCATTTACCGGCTTGGAGCCTGGCACCATCGGGACAAACGGGAGGTTGGGGGAGTATACAGTCGCCGTCCTTATTGAGGACAGCTTTTGGTGGGCAAATTGGCCGCTTAGGGGAGACACAGTCTTTGCCGTCAAATGTCGTGCCTTTGTCGCAGGTTGGCGGCGTGTCGCTGATGCAATCACCACCCTTGGGGACCCCTTCATCGCAACGGCCAACATGCTCCCTGACACAGTGTGTGCCATCCCATTGAGCGCGTTCACCACAAGATGGAGTACCGTAACCAATACATTGGTTCCCTTGAATACGGGTACCCTTGGGACATCTTGGAGGCTGGCTAGACACACATGAGTCTCCCACCAGAATAGTATCTTGGGGGCACTGGAGGATCTGTCTCTTCACGCATTTTTCATCCTCAATATGGGTTCCTTCAGGGCACTCTGGAGGAACTGGCAAGACACACTGGTTGCCTTCCAGCTTCCCCTGGGGACACTCAGGGCGAGGACTGGTATGCTTGTTGCAGCTGCTGCCTGGGATGGCGGGAGTCCCATCCGGACATTTACCATCAACTGGCTGTGCGGTGCAGAGCTGACCGTCCCAATCCATACCCTGCGGGCAACAACGGACTGAGCCATCGGCTGGATTGGTTGATGGCACAGTCCCCTTTATTTGGCATTGAGGGGGCTGCTTCAGCACACACTTTGTTCCCGAGATCGAGGTACCATCGTGGCATCTTCCAGGCTTCACAGGGACGTCACAGGTCTGTGTCTTCGAATTGAGGGTCCCGGTCTCACAGTATGGGCCCCGCGGAGAGGTGCACTGTCCTTTCTGCAGGATGCTGCCCGGGGGACAGGTAGGGGGCTGTGGAGAAACACAATGACCGGACTTCTCGTCGTAGGAGGTCTCTGTTGGGCACCGTGGAGGCTCAACATCGACGCACTTGCCGTCTTCAAGTTGGGATCCGTCAGGGCACCTTGGGGGTACATCATGAGCACAGGCCCACCCATTGAAATGCTCCCCGCTGCGACAGCGTGGTGGCTTCTGGGATCTACAAATATTGCCCTGCAAGACATGTCCCTCTGCGCACTTGGCATTGTCTTCAGTGACGCAGTTGTCGCCCTTGAGTATGGTGCCGGCAGCGCAGCTTGGGGGCCGAAAGGCAACACAGGCTCCGTCCTTGAATTCATATCCGCTCTCGCAAAGGGGGGGCTGATGGGATACGCACGCGTCGCCTTCACGACGGGTATCTGGAGGACATTTGGGGGCGGCGAAGACGCAATCCTGGCCGTCAAACTCAGTCCCTTCCGGACAGCAGCGCACCCGACCGGACTTCTGATCAGTGGAGGGGAGGACGTGGTCCAGCGTGAACTTGGTTCGGTCGCGGCATGATGGATTCAGAACGACTTGGTCCGCTGCACCAAGGGCTGTGAAAAGGATTAGGAGCTTTATCGGTAGACCTCGCATGTTTGCTAATAAAGGAAGTTATCACGAACGTGGTTAGATGAGAAAGCAAACAGGTTGATTCCGAAGGAGCTTACGACGTGGATTATATAGATCTTGAGTGCAAGCTGACACTCATCTGTTGAAACCAGGTTTATCCGCTTGCGGTCAAGCATGACGTTTCTTTGTAGGTATACTCTGCTCGACTTCGTCATGTATGCGACGGCCCTCGACTATCCGTCACGGTCGTGTAGTGTAGCCCAAGGATCCGGGATTCACAGGCTGACGAGGTGTCATCGACTAGGAGGCATTGGAACTCTGTCAGGTGGATGTGAGGCCAATGAAGAGTTGCATTGTTGCTTCTGTTAATGATGTCAAGTCGATTTAGCGTTGAGTAATATCAAGACCGAGACCTTGATACTCAGATGCCACGAAGCAATCTGGCGGTACGAACCTTGAAAGGAGACCTGGATGCGGTGATGGCTCTTGCAGGTTTAAGCAATGCTTGTGTCATGCTACAGAGCTGTAAGGCCATGATATACAGCATTGCTGCGTTCGGCCATATCTGTAGTAACCGCGAGCATTCTGCTGATTCGGTCATGGAATACCGGTGTACGGCCCGTGTAGTGGGAACGATGAGCTAGAGAAGGGCAGCGTCATCTAGTGTTCTAAACGCCGAGAAGCAGTTGGCAAGAGGAGTACCCTACGGAGTATACCCATCAGCCCCACTGTCCGCAAAATGGCGCCAAATCATTCAAGGGCTTCATCCCACCAAATAGGTACGGGCTCTTTGGTACAGCAACGAGTGATTACCATTGCAACCCTGGTTTATATCTGAAACCGGCTTGACGGTGTTATTGAGCTGCACTTATAGACCAATGTAATTCGAGTAATAGAGTATATGGCCTAGATCAGTCTGCGACAAATACGTTTGCTATACTCCGTACTCGCCAGTTGCAAAGACATCACGAAATATAGACGAAACCGTTGTTACCGTGAAATGGACTGCGAGTGACAAATCACTGCAAATGAAGTAATTCCAAATCACTGGGGCTCAGTAACGATATTAGATTCCAGTGGTACTGCAAGTAGTATCAGAGCTTCTGTTAAACTGGATCCTGGTATTCATGCATGACTCGATGCAGATTACAACACGAATCAAGACTCGAATTACGACTCGGATGTAGTAATTGAGGACCCATAGTACCATACTCGTACTTGCTGAGTGTTATACAGGATACCTGATCCGCCGGACTAGAGGGATTCCATGCCGCAATATCATGACATGTCCACTTTATGTCTCAGAGACTTAAAGGGATAGGCAAGGGAGCATGCTTAATTGGCGGATTTTTCTGTTCTTAGCCACGCCCCCCGCCTTTTCCCCAGTCTTCCTAGCATCGCAATATTCCATCGTACCTGGGCGCTCTAGCAATCCAGCCCGCTTGTAGGAAAAGTGACAAATATGGACCTTGACAGTGATATACGGAATGTAACGGAGGATGAGTCTTGGGAACCAAGGAAGCCTGCTAAGCTGATACATACGATGGAACCTTAACGGGGGGTCTTTACGAAAGACTCGTTATATGAGTGTACATTCTTCAGGTACGGTTGAGAGAAATCTCGTTTGGAATGATGTGATAACAACGACCTCTGCATTTGCATTACGACATGGGAAAAACTATCCATAGGAATAAAAACCCATATCAAGGTCATAGAGTACGAAACACTGCATCCACCTTTCAATTCGGAGCCTGCGTTCCGAAACGGAATACGGTAGGAGTTGATAATTTAGATGTGGATGCCCACCTAGTATTTGTCAGCTTGGTTTTTATGGCCTAGTATGATGGCGACACGTACCCAGCCCAGGAGATGGCTAGCCACATTGTCAACGCCACAGACACCAGTAAGGACATTGGATGCTCCAGTAAGAATACCACCTCGATCATGCTTGCTAGCCTGAACATGGAGGCAGCTCCAGTAGTCGCAAGGAGCCCTATCGCCGGTTTCACCCTCATCAAAGGATTTCAGCAGGTTCTGCAGGCAACCTTCCCAGTCGTTGTATTCATCCTGGGTAACTTTGTGGGGGCCGCCAGCGGTGGCAGTTGCTGCCAGAAGCATTGTGACGATGATAGGACAGACCTTCATTGTAGCTGTATTATCATCAGAATGAGAGACACATAGACTATGCAGAGGGGCGAGACCTACCGTTAGGGATTCGATTTTATCTGGAAAGTGTTGATCAGGCGTTTGAGGAGGATTATCAGCGTAGTCCGCGATGGGACTAATGCCTTGATCGAAGCTAGTATATATAGTTGTGTTAGGAGACCTTGTCATCCCACCATCCTCTTCGACCACGTTCTCTTCAGCCTGTCTAGACGTAGTCTATTCCGTCATCTTTTGTGTAATACCAGCTGCTTTCAGTATTTCTGATGGAGGGAACCACTGCACCATGGACCATGGTGAGGAATTTGGTCGCATTCAATTTCTGAGATACAGCAGTTCTGGATATCTCGCTTGAATTGAGTTTCTCGGATTGCACCCCGAACGCAGAGTTCGAACCAGTTTGATCTGCTACCTAGCCTCCGGCATAATCACAACCTTTGGAATCCAAAATCCTGAAGTTCTAGATCTGCGGCGCTTACGCTATGTTTACTGATATTGGGTGCAGAGAAGTTAATGATTGCTGAAAGAATAGAAGCATGCTGGTGAACCTCGGGCAGGCCTAGACAGCAGTTTCCTGGATAGGTAGTTCTTCATAGAATTTGCGTCATGGATATCAAAGCGATTGAGCAACCTACACATGTATGACATTTTCTATCGGGACCAGTAGTTAGGGTTCAGGGAGCGTAGCCAGTGAGCATATATGTCATGCATGATATGGAGTTACAGTCAAATTTCAGGAGATAAGCATCGTCCACAAAGTTGTGTTGCATCTAAATCTCAGGTTTTGAAAAATCAACCGAAAACAGACCCAGGTTATCGCGGCCTTGGTGGGCTACCGTTCAAGATTCGGGCCAGTCTATGAGAGACACCAGGGTGTAATACGACAGCTGTACCCGGTGCACACCTCTGTATTCCTCATCTGGCCCTGTATCTGTGGCATCTGGTGTATCTCTACTGCACCTGCGCTCAGTGGTTTCTCTATGCACTCCTGTGCCATGCTTATTGCCCTTATATCTATACCAAGGTACGAATATATCTAACATATCCTTAACCAGCTGGGATCTCTCAATCTGCTCAGGCTGCCGGATACTGCAGGCATATGCCGGATATAGGACCTATATTGTCTGCTGTTTAAAGTAGGTTACCCTTGAGGGGTCATTACCGCAACTGTGAGGTTCAAAAGCAGATCAGAGTTGCATAACCGAACCCGCAGTAAAGTCGCATTCAGTCTTAACTGGTCCGAGCTCTCAGCCGGGTGGCACTGGACAGCCCAGAGCGAGATCCAAGCCTAGTTGTTGAAGGTCACGGCTGCGAGTGCAGGCTGGGATGCTGCCATTCATCTCCACTCCCTCGATCAGTTCTAGTTGCATCTTGTGCGCGCAGTGGAGGATGCTCTTTGGAGCAGCTGACTGACTTCTAGTCTTATGCGTACACAGTTCTTGTTATTCGAAACTGGACCAGCTATGCTATAGGACACTGTGCGTGGCGTGCTGGTCCCTATCCCCCGTCAACAATGCTCCGAGCAATACTGATCCGTATCCTGGGCCATGTTTCAGTTCCTTTGTCCTTACCAACTACACGGGGCAGTTCTCGAAAACCACTTTCACTCTACTGTCCTACCGCATAACCCTTGACTTTTTTCTGGTCTCCCCTCAGCTCAGCACTCATCTTCCCGTCACACCGTTTGTAGCGATCACTGGGTTATTACTAAAGCTACTGGACTCTTCAATCAAGTGCCTTGCGTATTGGTTTAATGGCATATAATAGGCCGCGGTTCCTAGAGCTATGAAGTTGGCTCATTATTGTGATTTTGCATTCGCCTAGTTCCCAAAATTCGATACTGGTCCTTCATCTTAAATTGTGCGTCTCTCATAAGCCTGACGAATCACTTCCGGAATAAATTGTCCCAAGAACAATCGACACACGCAAGACCAGCGATAAAGAATGAATATACTGCGTGGAATATCCGTCAGTATCGGCCTTGTATTGCAGCACAGAGGGGAACTTACTATGCAGACACCCCCAAACGAGCACAGGAAATGGTGATATCCTGGAGAGCACTGGCGGCTCCTGGACCGACCGAGAGCAAAACACGTTTATCTTAGTAGGTGAAAAGGCTTGGTGATGGGGCTAAAGGCTAGGAAAAATTCAGCGCAGACTGTGAATATGTCAGATATCCTCTCCATATCTCAGGAAGTTTGCCTACCACCGCCAGATTGTATGAAGCCGCCGCAGACCGCAACGGACCTGGTGGTGTTTTTGAGATGATGCCAGCTGAAAGCCCAAGCACACCACAGCAGAGGCCCACAGGCAAAATCCCCCAGTGGCAATTTTGGAATATGGATCTCCTACAGGGCCGGCATCATCACCTTTGTTACCTGTTGAAGTCGCCATATCGCAATGCCAGGAGGATCACGATGGTTCAGGGTTTATGAGGACTGCTTCCAAAGGTATGTAAATATACATAGTAGTTCAGTCCAAATCAGACAGTCAGACCATGCACGCTATGGATTGATCAAGTATGGTGTCGATCACTACATTTTTCAATTTTAATATTACTATGAATCCATGACCTCAAGCGTTGCTTGCATGAAACATGAATAGATAGTGGACATCAGAGAGCCAATAACGACGACTCTTCCATTCCCATCTTGGATGTTCCTCCACCATCCACAAGGCTGAATCTGCCCTTGGCATAAGGCTCTGAGCTGTTCCACCTTGTGAGTCATAATATTGATTCCTGAATATATATAAGAACCCAACTTCCGATCGAGAGAAATTACCTGCAAAGTAAACAAGATGACGTCGGCAACAGTTCTAACGGCGCAACCCGTCTCCCTCGACCGGCTTCGAGTCAGCGATTCTCCAGAAGGAATCACCCAGGCGGCCGAAGACGAAAATGCACCACCACCGGACATTCGACCGCGCTGGTCGGATCGAATCCTAGCTCAAGGTCCGTGGGATCAGACAGTGACCCACGACATGCTCAAAGGAGCACCCAGCCTGCCGATGCCAGTCGAGATTAGCGACGCAGGCTCTCTTACGCCATTCTTCAATTACCTAAAACGTGATGGCAGCTATGAGACCGCTTCTGATGCTACACGCCAAAGCCAACCGGCAGCCGAGCCCTACTACAACGTTCCGACCTTGGAGTTTGATAAAGGGGTGCTGTACGAAGACGGTCGGATGGACCTGTGTAAAATGGCTCTCGGTCCGCCAAATATCTTGACGCTGATGGACAGTTTGCGCTCCAACACTTTTGTGCGGCATTTTCTGCTGGGAAATAACATCATCGGCCCAGCTGGGGCAAATGCAATCGCGGACTTTGTCCAGGAGTTTCCCGACCGAATTGATACCTGGTATCTAGCCGGTAATTGCATAGATGCACCATCGTTTGCACTTTTGACAGATGCGCTGGTCAAGTCGCCCGCTGTGACAAATATCTGGCTTAAAAGGAATCCCCTCGGTCCAGAGTCGGTTGATTCTCTCTTCCGCCTCATCACACAGACTCCAAACCTCCGGACACTGGATCTGGATCAGACAGAGCTTGGCGACGCAGGCGTTGCTGCTCTGTTCACTCGATTAGCAGACTATGTTCCTCCAACTCCCTTGTCAATGAGAATCCTGTACCTGTCAGCAACTGGGGTATCTACGGTGGCCTGCGAGGCAATTTCCAGGTATCTGGCATCTCCGCATTGCCATATTACATCATTGTATATGTCCGGCAATCCAATCGGAGATGCAGGGGCAAAGGCGCTTGCCAAAGGGCTGCAACTAAATAAGCCACTGCAGCGTCTTTCCCTGCAATCAATTGGCCTGACCGATGAGGGAGCAACTGCATTGATTTCATCGCTGCAAGGTCATCCTGCATTGGAGACTCTCGATATCAGTCAGTCCTATTCCACGCAGGACCTGAATGCGAGGTATGTCTTTGACCAGTCGATCGAAGAAAGCAACTGACAAAACAGGTTCAATTACCTATCTGCAGAATGCACAATCAGCGCCCTCTGCTCCCTGGTGACTTCGTCAACGCCCCTCTCCTACCTCGCCCTTGGTCCCCAGCCATTTTGCACCACCACCGCCTTGCCTCTGATGGGTGCTGCGCAGGAGTCCAAAACGATCATGTACCTCTCCCTCAAGCCGCTCATCCCGTCACGGTCCACCCCGAAAGACAATACGCGGTTTGCTAGTGCATCCAAGGCGCTGCGAACGCATACCCTGAACAACATCCGTGCACACTACGACAAGCCGACCCTGACTTATGAAGAATGGGAGGCTGACCTCAAACGCTGGTGCGTTAGCGATGAGATCAGCGTGCGGAAAATTGACAGCGTGTACCGCAATCGGGCGGCGCAAAAGGCGCGCAGGGGCGAGGAAGTTTTGCGGAAATGGTGGGCCGACGAGGAGAGGGGGGTTCTTGAGGGGGTGATGCAGGCATAATCCTGATATGTTATGATCTCTCGTACAGAAACGCAGTGAAATGTCCCTCATACCAGGATGTGTGTAGCCCAAAACGAGCCACATCTATACATTGCAAGATGTTCAATGGACCAGCCCGCCCCGACAGTAGACGGGATCCTTATGATGGGCCATGAAAGTGATTAAAAAATATCGAAGATATTCAGCTGGAGATGATCTGACCCACTTGTGCAGTATCCGAATCAGGGCGAGTTCCCAAATGTCCGCATGCTGGACTCGAACGTACTTTGTCGGATGGCCATGATTGGCGGCTACAATGGATCCCATTGACAGCCTATATCGTCACAAAGTATTGGCTTGGCAAGGTGACAGCTGAGGGGACTGTATGGACATGCCATCTTGCATTGAGCTATGTACTGAATTCCTCCAGACATGCATCTATTCGTTGCTGGTGATGTCTGCACACTTTGTTGACAAGGCTGGACTTTGGCATCCACTGGATAATCGGCGCAGACGTTCGATTTAAATATAAATGACACTGAATAAAGAATGCGTTTTCGAGCTCTGGGTAGGCTCCATAATGATAAACGACGTCCAGTTGGTATAGTGTGGATAGGAGTTATAGAATCAGACTCGGTATTTCAATCGATATATTATAAAATTCTCTCAAGGAATCATCTTGGAATATATATAGAATAATAGTTACCAGATTTCAAGTATCAATCAAAGGTTGCTCCAGGGGAAAGGGGACCATCCGGATAGAACCGTATCTATTTCGCTTGATCCCATGGCCTTGAACCCTAAACACTCACTGTGCTTCGATTATTCCGCAAAAGAGATGCATGTTTGCTAACTAGTTAATTCAGAGATTCTGGACTGAAGCAAGACAGGGTCTAGAGTACAGGGATTGCCCCTCGTCTTGAGTAAGTTGACAAATACTGAGTCACTGAATGACACGTTGACCGGCATGACTCCCTCAGCGCACAGCCCTTGTTCTAGTGGAGGACAATTGCAGCTGCGCTGAATTGTCTTTACGTTCTCAGAGTGTGAGTGCGTGACCTTGGTTGGGGCCGGGAGAGGTTGCGGAACGGGCCGTGAATTCCATTCAAGACTGAAGCAATCGTCTATTCGGCAGGCTTCTGATGGATAAGCAAAGCAGAAAGTATCCTTGGCTACATAATTCCCATCATACAGATACAAATAGTAGCGTAGTGAGAAGTAACCACGATCTACAGCAGAATCATGATCTTGCACTCACTTTCGTTAGCCCCGCATCTGAAGAAAGACATCTCAAAATCCGGAAACTCTTTCTGTCCCAGAATGGAAAAGCTGAGGCAGATCGCCAGTGGCCAAGAAAGGGAAACACATGCCAAGATGACCAAAGGCAACTAACGCCGGCGTCACCCCGGGAACAGTCTTTCATCCTCAGGTCAGGCGTGTCCTGACTCGATGAGAGCAGTCACACCGCATAAGCGATGGCCCAAATGGCAATCAGGCCCACAAGCAAGGGCCAGAAGAGTCCACCTCCACCCAATAGTCTCGAGTAGTGCGTCCTGCAATCCACTACCGGAGATACACGAGCTGGGAAATGTACGTGAGGCTGGCTGATTAGGATAATCCCTGCAGAGCTGATCAAAACATTGCGGCAGTAATACACTTTCTGTGCCGCTCTACTCCGATCCCAACGACGCCGGCCAAGATTCATATATTAAGCTTTGGCTGGACGCGTTAGGGCTGTCGGATTCTTCTTCTCCATCCTGCCAAGCGCCAAGGGGTCTTATCATCCTGAAACTGCCGAATATCGTGGCCTATGCTCTGTGCTTATCGCTGACCGCGGCGAAGGTCATTCCTGATGACGTCCCGGATCCGAATGGCAGTGCGTGCGCCGCCATCTCATGGCTCGATCAGCCATGATCAAGATAGAAAAACGGCAGCGACAAGGTATGCCGCCACCATTCCTCGCTGGGGACGGCGGATACTGACTGGTCATAGATCACGAGTTCCGCCAGAACCTGTCGACAGTCGCTCGACAGGCCGATGTCATCGTCCAGGCAATCCGGCAGGAGGAGATTGATGACTATTGGCGCCAGTATGGCACGTTCGAGCATCCAGAGGATGAGCGTTACGCCGGGGAGATGTTCCCTCTAGCACGGCCATACATCAATTCCACGAAGCTCTGGAAGATTGTTAAGCGCATGCCCAAGGGTGCGTTGCTACATGCACACTTGTCGGCCATGCTGCCATTTGGAACCATTCTCGAAACTATTCTGGCAACCGAAGGCATGGTCATTTCCACGTCGCAACCGATTCTGGATGAGCAGAGCGCAGAAAATGCCACGGTCGCTTTTGCGCATGTCAACACGACCATAAACACCTCGGCTGAAACGATCTCCTCGGCCAATTACGTTCCCAACACCCAAGTTTCGGTCCAAATCGCCGCTGACCGGTTCCCCGGTGGCCGGCAAGGCTTTATGGATTTCATGAAGTCCAAGCTGACGATCCTGCCGCAGGAGTCGATCCTCCATGAGCTGGGTGTCGACGAGGTCTGGAGACGCTTTCAAGCGTGCTTTGGTCCCGCCGATACCATGGTCAACTATGAGCCGATCGTGCGGACCTTCTACCAGAAACTGTTCGAAGGGTTAGCCGACGATGGCATCAACTGGGTGGAAATCCGCAGCGGTGGCTCCAGCGGTAAACTGGTTCACACCGGCCAGGAGGACGTTGATCCCAATCTCGATGTCTGGTGGGATGTGATGATCGAGGAGATTGAGAAGTTCCAGGCCACCGACAAGGGGAAGAATTTCTGGGGGGCCCGCGTCATCTGGTCCGACACTCGCAGCAAGAACCGGGAGAAGATCACCAAGAGTAAGATTTCTTTTTGCGTATTCTGAAAACGCGACTGACCTGTCTCAGGCATGAAGGTTGCCCTTGAGCGCAAGCAAAGGTTTCCGGAGCTGTTCAGTGGCTATGATCTGGTAGCGCAGGAGGATCTGGGTCGTCCGCTGTCTGACCTAGCCCCCGAACTGATCTGGTTCCGGGAGCAGACCGAGTATTTGAATCTCACTATTCCCTTCTTTTTCCACGCCGGCGAGACACTCGGCGACGGAAACTCAACCGACTACAACTTGGTGGATGCCATTCTCTTCAATTCCCGCCGCATCGGCCATGGGTTCTCTCTGTACAAGCACCCAACACTCATCGAGGAGGTCATTGAAAAGGCAGTCATGCTCGAAGTGTGCCCCATCTCTAACGAAGTGCTGCGCCTGGCGACGGATATCCTCCACCATCCTCTCCCTGCGATGATCGCTCATGGCGTTCCCACGGCCATCAGCAACGATGACCCGGCCATTCTGGGACAAGACATTGCAGGTCTGAGTTATGATTTCTATCAGACCATCCAAGGATTCGATAACATTGGGCTCGCTGGACTGGTAGGTCTCCTGTCAAATCCCCTTCGTACCAGGCCGAGCTAACAAACCGTAGGGAGCCCTTGCGCAGAATAGTCTTCGCTGGTCGAATTTTGAGGACCAGTCCGATGCCGACTGGCTTCGGGACATTGATCTGGCCGCGCGGGGCGACGGTATCAAAGCCCAGCGCATTCAATACTGGAACCAGCAGTGGGAGGAGTTTTGCCAATGGATCGTGTCCGAGTATGGGGACAAGTATCCGCCTGCTGAGGTTGCCCAGGTTGTGAACTGATCCTCAAGCCCTTGTGACTTTACAATAATTATGAAGTCAGTGGCAGAAGGTAAACGTCGAGTGTTACAAACGCTGTTTTAGTTACGGAGCCAACTGTTGATGTTACTATGATCCAGTGGGCCAATAGCGAACAGGGTCGATGGCAATTGTGATAGGCAAAGGACATATGATATATTCAGTCGTGTAGCCGCCTCAATAGTGGTGGAAGGCGCCTTTTCTTTTCCTCATCATTAATTGCATCGATCTATCTCATCCCGACGGTCTGGGATAGGACGTATCAGAGACGAACGCGGAGGCTCATCAGACACCGAACTATAACACATATTGAATCAATAACATTCAAGATCTAATAACGATATGTTTCCTCAATGTCTACCGTTGTCGTAACGTCAATCGTAGACAAATGCAGCTCAGAGTCATTCTGCATTTTACTTCGTTTACTGCGCTTCCCGGTGGAACTCAACGTTCCATACGAGTGAGCGCTTTTCTTAGGTGAAGAATCACTATCCTGCGTCCCGTGGTCACGGTCCAACAGACGAAGTAAAGGACGAAGAGATGGCAGACACGCTTTAAAATTAGTTGCGAGCTTTCCCTACGGAAGGGCCGACTCACCAGACACGACTCCGATGTTAGTCTCCACTGCCGTCCACGTCGAGGGACCGATAAATACCCACGTTACATCGATCGAGGGGACTCGGTATGAGTCGAGCATGATCACTAATCTGACGATAGAAATGACGCAGATACTGCATGGTCAGCTGGTGGGATTGAACCCATGAGAGAATGAGACCTACAACCCTCCGAGAACAAAGACACTGCTGATGGCTATCTTCTGGGCGGTGTTCTTGTGGAGTCGCCAGATGTATGGCATGGGGAGGATCAGCAACGCCCAGTCAGTGATGATGTTGGGAACTGCGTTGCCGATGAAGAACTGGTTGACGTCCACGCCGCAGTGTGGATTTAGAGATTTATCCCAGAAGCCACGGATGGGGAGACACTGGAAGATTGTGGTGAAGATCTGCGTCGGTCCGTTAGGGAAAGCCAAACTCAAGATATGGTCCGACGTACGACTCCCAACCCCCAGCCGGTTACCAGAAAGAATATGACGTATATTGGGATACGGATGTTGGTGGTGCCGAAGATGCGCCAGTAGAACATCAAGATGGAATATTTGGTCAGACAGATGGACAGCGTGTAGAAGATTTCGCAGACGAAGAGGTTGATGAAGAAGTTCGAGAAGCCGGTCATCCCTAGGGGGTAGATGTGTGTTCCTACCCCACGATACACCCAGATGATCATGTCGATGTATTCTCCGGTTACCATGGCCTGTATCATCCAGTCAGAATATGTTTCTGAGGAGCACAATGCCGTGATACTAACCAAAGCAATACAGATCAAGTAATCGTCCCACCACAGTCCGACCTTGGACACTCGGGTACGACACAACAACCGCAGCACCACTGCCACCACGGCCAGTCCATACGTGGATGAATATGCCGCATATAGATTGGCTCGTTTGGATTCCGAAAGATCCAACCCGGGCGGAGGAGTGAAGTCCATAATGCGAGGAAAGCACCACCTGTGCTATACTCAAGAGAGACAATCTCTCAAGGAGAACAGGTCACAGGTCAGATCTTGTAGCAACTGAGTTCGCGGCTGGTCTGCTCTCCAGTAAACAGCAGCCGGATATTAATCGGACTTCGCATCGGAGGTCCTCGCCAAACTACGATGAGGGGCAGACCAGGATGATCTGGAGCTAAGCAAGGGAAGGAGCAGAATCCCTGAAAGGGGGAATGAGGTGGCGCTCGAGGTCATATACTCCGCTAATTGCCAAGGTCATGGCCATATATTAAGCGCCTGATTCACCCTGGACGTCATGAGACTGCGTCTATCGCTCACTTTTGATCTATACGGCAATACAATGGCCACTATCGTCTTCGTCCCTGGTGCATGGATCACTCCAGACTTTTATCAACCTTTCCTCGACGCTCTCACCAAGGCCGGTTATCCTGTCCGCTATGCTGGATATCCCTCTCTGGACCCTGCGGATCCCACGAGCGCAGACTGCAAAGCTGATTCCGATGCCATCGCCAGCGTCATCCGTCCGCTAGTAGAAGACGAGGCCCGCGATGTCCTTCTGGTCATGCACTCCTACGCAGGAATGCCTGGTGCCGCGGCCGCCAAAGGTCTTGCCAAAACGGAACGAATGCAACAGGGCAAGTCTGGTGGCATCGTAGGAATGGTGTTCATCGCGGCTTTCCTGGTTCCGGAAGGATTAAGTTGTGCGGGATTACAGGGAGGGTATCTCCCTCCGTGGATTCTGTTGGACAAGGTACTACCCCTCTTCAAACTACTTGGATGAATCCCAACAGATGAGTGACGTTCTCTAGCCGTACGACAAAGTGAACATCCCCGATGATCCTGCTGGCATCTTTGCCGCTGATTTTGATCAAGGCGTGGCTCAAAACCTCGCGGGTTACATCCAGCCTCATTCCACGTTGGCGTTCAACTCCCCCCAACCTGCTCCCGCTTGGGCAGACCAGGCGTATGCCGGACGACTAGCATTTATTGTTTCTACACTGGACAAGGCTCTTCCCGAGGGAGCTCAGCGTGCCATGATGACCGCTACTCAGAAGGATTGGATTGTCGAGGAGATGGTCTGCAGTCACTGTGCGCCATTTGTCACTCGGGTGGCCGAATGCGTAAGACTGCTGCAGGGATTTCTCGGGTTGTTTGAGGGTATGAAGAACTGATAGCCCACCGGGTATGCCTGTTTTGGACGATCATGAGATGCGAGTAATAACAAAGTTGATCCCTTGGCGATCTGCCGGCATCCATTGCACGTCCTCATCTTCCATACCCCATTCCTTGAGATCTACTTCGGTCACTTCTAGCCTCCACTGTGTGTTTGTCTCCTGTTGCACCACATCCCACAGTTTGACGAATGATTTGAGATTATGGTAGAACATCATACCCCAGGGCCGCATATACTCCCGAGCTGTCTTCCTGCCTTGTTGATATCCCACTAGCATCGTCCCCGGTTTAGACAATGCGACGATCCGCTTCGTTGCGATGATTTGGCCTTCCCAGCTAAACAGATGAAGAAACTGCGACGCTATCACCACATCCACGTTGCCTTGAAGCTCGCGGAGGCTTTCGTCCGCCATGCTCAGAAAATCTCCCTGGATGAACCTCGCCTTCATCCGGCCCTTATCACGGAATAATTCATATCCCAACTGCCATAGACCAGGCTCGATATCCACCGCCCACATCAGATCCGTGGAAACGCCGTGGGCAGCCAATAAGCGCAGCTCCTGTCCCAGACCACATCCCAAATCCAGTATCCCAGCCTGGGGCTGCCGGGCTCGAGCCAGGATCACGGGATATTGCGGGAAGGCGGCCAAACCAGGGAGGAGAAAGATCCAGAGGCCAATGCAGGGGTATTTACCTAAAGGCCAGGCTTTGTTGCGCTAGAATGTTTTAGTATAATGCAGAACTTGGGATGAAGCGATTCACATACGATGTCGTGTAAATGGGAGGGGAGATCTTTGTCTGGAATGCCGCTCCAGTGGTTGTAGACATATCGGACGCACGGCCGAAGACGCGGGCCGATATGTGGTTGGATCCAGACTGAGCTGTCAATCTGAGACATTATTGGGCTTATCCATGCTTTGAGCGAGTAGTGTGCTGACGGTTAATAAGTGTTCTTTTACCTGTCTCGGACATGTCTCATCGTCATCTATTTAGCTTCCGCCATTAATATCGGCTCGCACGAGTCACGACTAGTGAACACTTGGACAGGGATCAATGCCAATAATGTAACCTCGTGTCTTCGTCTGCTCCAATTACGAACATAAATTGCAGTTGTTGTTGGATAGCCAATAACAATGAAACGAATCTATCTATTCCTTATGCCCTGGTAGGGCCATTCTCCTTCCCAGTTGCCAGCAAATCGTCCATCATGACCACTTTGCTTCCATACACTCGGTGCATGTAAGCCAGCATCTGTTCCTCCGAGAAATGCAATGCTGCCGTACACTCGCTCACCAGTGTGGTCCACAGTCCCCGCTGAAACGCGCCTCGCACCGTCGCATCAACACAGACGTCCGTGTACAAGCCCACCACCACCAGCTGCTCAAATCCCCGGGCAGCGATATACTGCGCAAATTCTGCGGTCAGGAATGGATCAAACATGGCTTTCTTGTCAAACACTCGTTCACCCGCTTGGACAGTAACACTACCGAATACCTCCGCACCCCATGTCCCCTGGACACACCACGGCAGTCGCCCCTGCGTCTGATCCCGGTGGCGCCAGCTAAGGCTTTGAAATTGCTCGTCTCCCAGGAACCGAACAAAAATCACCTCGATACGAGCCTGTCGGGCCCATTCCACCACTCGCGGGATGTTCGCCGCCACCCGTGCCATGGCCGATTGGTTCTTGTACTGCGTGACAAAATCGTTCTGGAAGTCCACGACCACCATGGCCGTTCGCTTCCCCCGAAACCGGCAAATCTCGTAGTTGTGCGTGCCCAGTGGCTGATTTAATTCCTGTAGGAAAGCCTCCAGAAACCTCTCCGTCGTAGTTGTCCCTCCCTGATCAGGCGTCCCAATGCCCCTGGCCCCCAAATCCCCCAACACGCCATCAACCTTCCGTTTCACACCCGCACAGCCCGCCTGATCCTCTAACACCGCCGCGGCGGCGCGGATCGTAGCCGTAGGATTGACGACGCCCCGACCCACCAGATCATCCGCTGATCCATGGGCGGTCTGGTACTCGCTCAGGCCCTGGACATCCGGGTGAAGATAGACGTTCTCTGCGCACGCGGACTCCTGCGCCCCGAGGCCAAATCTATCGAGCAGGATGGTCTGCATGATATCTGCGTACTCGTTGCCTGAAATGACTAGATTGTGCCCGCTCACCCCGAAGGCTAGCAGGTCGCGGTTCATCGTATCTCCCTGCACAAACCGGATCGTGACGCCAAAGGTTCGTTCCCATTCTGTTGCCCAGGTGTGGAACAGCCCGTCGAAGAGGTGGAACTTGTAGACCATTGTGACCGAGTTGGGTGTTCCCCAGAGCTGATTGGCGCGGGCGAGTGCGTGGGAGAGGATGCGTGTGAAGATCGCCTTGCTGAAGTGCACGGTGCGGGAGACAGCATCCTTGCTGGTGTTGACGCTGTTGGCGCCCGAGTAGAAGCCCTGTGCCTGGTCACGGACGAGGAGGATAGACGAGTTGGGACTCAACACGAAATGTTCGACTTTGATAGCTTGCAGCTGCTCGCGGACGAGGTAGAGGGCTTGCGCGCTGATCGAAGTACGGAATATAGCGCGCACACCGCAAGATACGGCTTCTTTGCAGAATTGGCGGTAGTGGGCAGCGTCTGCCAGTGTTTCTTCTGTCACGGCGTCGGTGTCATTGATAGCTAGTAGCGAGGAGTAGGAATTGTAGATGCGTGGAGAACGCAGGAAAGTGACGGTAACATTGTAGGGAGCAGTAAGCGATTGGATAACACGCTCAAAGACGGCTGCCAGCTCGGGGCCAGTGCCGTTGCCCACGGCGAGGCCAACCTGAATAGACGACATGGCGGTAGTGAAGATGGGCACGTTGGTCAGTTTCTCGTTGCTGGATTTATGAGAATCTGGGTGACAGAGGCCCAACTGGACTAATGCAGCTGGAATACGACGAAGGATCTAGTGTGGAGGCCTTTTCTTTTCTTTTTTATTTTTTGGATGTATAGTATAATGACAAGCCCTCCTCAAAGCTTGTCAGACTCTTGTCTATCTCATCCGTCCCACTATGGAGAGCATCTCCTCTGGCTTCCATCTGGCTGACGGCAATGGTTACATGCTCGACAAAGGTTATGCTGCCACATGCCGCCTGAACCTCCAGTTCTATCTCTGGAAAAACTCGTTGACCTTCAACCTACACCCATCTATCCCCATCCCACATACCCAACCCTCGTCGCCGCTAAGAATTGCGGACCTCGCCTGCGGTACAGGCGTCTGGCTCCTCGAGCTCGCCTGTGAATTACCGAAATCAGCTGTCCTCGATGGCTTCGACATCGATCTCTCCAAATCCCCACCGGCTCAGTGGCTGCCAGACAATGTCACCGTGCACAACTGGGACATCCTCAGTCCCGTTCCGGAACATCTCGTCGGAAGATACGATATCGTCCACCTCCGTCTTTTGATACTGGTGGTAGAGCACAGCGATCCAGCCCCCATCATTCAGAATGCGTACCGCATGCTGAAGCCCGGCGGGTACATCCAGTGGGATGATCTCAACTACCCCGATACACATATCGTCAAGGCAAATGCAGACACAGACACCCCGGCGTTTGACCGGCTGCTTCATTTTGTCCGCTCAAACGGAAGACATGGCTGGGTGCTGAGCTTACCCGGTATCCTGGAACGCAATGGCTTTACAGATGCCCGGCTAGATCATTTCCGGGATCGCATGGAGCTAGCCATGGCGAATGGGGACCAACATCTGATGACCATGGAGGAGTTTGCCGGGTCCTTGCAGCGGAAGGGGATGCTGGAGGAAGGGAGGAATATACATCAATTGATTGCAGATTGCTGTACAGAGGCATCTCAAGGAGTGGCACTGTCTATGCCCCGAGTGGTGTGCGTAGCGAGAAAGCTTCCATAGTTAATCAGTATATTGAGGCCAATACTGCAGGAATGGCAGTATTGTATTTTTGCCGATTAGCTCCTGCACTTGACTTACCTACCCCAATAATAGAATCCCAGAAGCAATCAACTTTCCAAATAGAGAGGTGGCTAACAGCCTGCATGATTCAAGGCATCGCTTGGACACCTCAGGCATCATATTGCCCATTCGCATCAGTGTTATCATTACCTGGTTGGCAAATGCGAGGATATAGGGTGCATAGCAGCATGATAACGGCTGGAAATACCAACTGGAAATGATGTTGTGACATTATGTCGGAGATTCCGCGGAGAAATCCAGCAGTTGCATCATATAGTAGAAGATGGAGCTGTTAACATCAACATGATGTAACCGACGGCAGGTTTGGCAGTAAGAGGTATAAATTGATTTATCCCATGTAAAAGATGAGCGGCATCAAAGTGATTAATCATTAATCAGTCGGATTGTACTTCATCCCTTTATACCAACTCTCAGTTCTGTCCACATTCCATATAACATTTGACTACCAGCATGTCGCAACCGCCTTCCTTCCAGCGTGATCCTACGCAGGCATCCAACGTCGTCGACTCGTCCGAGCTTTCCGACCAAAACAAAGCGAAAGATACCTCTCAAGCCCCCGCCTTTGGGGGCCCCGGAGCCAAAGCATCCGCCCCTGAGACCTCCCAGCCTCACTCGAGCAAGATCCTGAACAAGCTGGATCCTCGGTTCGACAGCGACATGTTGGAACAGCGCGATCAAGGGAATACCGGTCGGACTTGAGCTAGGAAGAAGCATGGTGGAATATCTCTTCTGGAGAGATGGACTTAATGTATATATTTGAATGACATGAGCTACATGAATTAAAGAACTATAGATCACATTCAAGGCGCATGTGTGTCGTCATTTTGACTGGAGGGTTGTTCCCCACATGGTTTTGGCTTTATAAACAGGGGTAACCCGCAATTCACACTGTCCTCAATTTGTATTCAAAGAAATATTATCGACTCCTTGGTATCCTCGATGCCTACTCTTAAACCGCTCTTGTTGGCGGGAGGCCACTCATCGCGAATGGGCACTCGCAAAGAACTCTTACGAGTCGTCGATGATGTCCCCTTGTTCGTCCATCTGCTGATCATCCTACGCGAGGCATGTCCCGAGTCAGAAGCGGTGTTTCTTTCACTGCGCGATCACGACTCATTAAAAGCCATTGCGAACGATCGCCATATCACTGCCGTCGCACACAATCAACTGATCCTCAACCGTGGGACTACCACTTTCCCGGTCCATGTAGTCTACGACGGTCCCGGAGTACCCAGCGAACATGACAGCACCGGCATTGGTCCAGCAGCCGGATTGCTGGCTGCTCATCACCTGGATGATAGTGCTTCCTGGTTGGTAGTCGCCTGCGACTATCCATTCATATCTGTCGCCGCGCTGTCTCAACTTCGTTGCGCATGGACTGCACCAGTCACCTGTTTCGAGAACAGAGATGGTTTCTATGAGCCGTTATTGAGTATCTGGTCTCCGGAGGCATTGCGCGCACTCAAAGGCAACGTTCAAAATGGCATCCTCGGTCCCAGTGCGGTGGTGAAGCGTCTGCATGGCAAGACGATACGACCAAACAAGGAGAGCTGGATCTTCAATGTCAACACGCGTGCCGATTTGGAGCTGGCGTCGAATATGGAAGGCAAACCCCAAGTGAGTTGATAAAGGAGAAGTTGGTCGGCGACAGGAAATCACTGGCTTGGGTAAATGTCGACAATGTCACCTGCTTTCAACTCGGAAACGCCTCGGTGGATATGGATCCAACAATTTGAATGCAGAAACGGCTTGATCTTTCCTGGACTGTGATCCTGTATGAGCTTTACCTGTACATGGCCTGACGAGCCGCGGACCAATGCCGGTCGGAAGACGTCCATGTCCCCGCGGAATGTAGATACCACTGGATGCTCTTTGGTGGTCGATGTTTCCACGTCGTCACGAGGGAGAAGATATGCATGCGACGGATCGTCTGGTCGCTGCCGCTGTAGGTATTGCAGGTATGGAAGGACCAAGAAGCGCAAACAGGCAGCGCTGGCTACGGGGTTTCCGGGCAACCCAAAGAACGCCGTTCCTCTCCCGGGATGTTTATCAGTGCTTGAAGAATCGGGAATCTGGGCGAAAAGTACAGGATGTCCTGGTCTCATGGCGACCTTGTGAAACACGACTCGAGCATTCAACCGACGAATCACCACAGGAATCAAGTCGCATCGACCGGCAGAAACAGCTCCAGAGGTGATGATCACATCGTATTCTTTTTTCAGAATCGAGCCCAGTGCCTGTTCCAGGGACTCAGCATGATCATGGACAATCCCCAAAAAGTCCACTGAAGCACCCCAACTCTCCAAGGTTGCAGTTAGATAGGGCCCATTCGCGTCGCTAATCCGATGGAGGCACGATTCATGAAGCCCAGGAGGCAATAGCTCCGAGCCAGTAGAGACAACAGCCACTCGAGGCTTGCGCAAGGCGGCAATTTCCGTGATTCCAACCGATGCCATCGACAGGATGTGGCCCGGATGGACCACTTCTCCCGCATCGATGAGGACGTCACTTCTCTTAAAGTCGCTTCCTGCAAACCTTCGATTCTGCCGCGCTTTTGCTGGCTTGAAGACTCGAATATAGCGGCGGTTGGACGCTTCGTCCACGATGACTGTTACATCCTCGTTGCGCACACAGCAGTCCAATTCGTCACCACTCACGCTAGTCGGAAAGGGAGCTCCTGTCATGATCTCCACGCAGACAGGCGCTCCCGATTGTTCATCAGCGGCAATCCGCAAAGGCTCATCTCCCGCGGCGATCATGCCTTTGACTTCAAATGTTACCGGGATGTCGATGGTCGCATCCTGCGTCGCAGACGAGCTCAGCGCATACCCATCCATAGCGGAGGTATCGAATTTTGGGGTCGATATCGGACTCGTTACAGTCTCGCGAGCAATGCGATTCCGCGCATGGCTGATAGGAACATTCTCCCCATCAGCGACAAAGGCGTCGCGATGTTGCTGAGCCTCCGCCTGAATCAGCTGCAGTGCCTCAGCATAAAGGATTGCCATGACGGCAACGACACAGCTCAACTGGTAGTTTCAACCGCCTAATGTATAATCAATATCCTATGATGGGTTCATGTCTTTTTGTAAGATTGTGGGGAGGTTTACAGCGAACGAGTCTGCCAAACTATCCGCTAGGGTCTCGACGACGATAGTCAACTTCCAAGTTGAACACGGCTCGAACTATTCCTGTTCCTCTAGAAACCAATGACCTGTCATAACAGGGATGTTGACCCTACGAGACCTTGTTTTGAGGCATTTTGTGGATTGCCGCGGAGAAGCCGAGGGCGGAGGTTGCGGATGGCGTCACTTTGGAGTCATCGCGACTACAGGCCCTTAAACTCTGTCGTGTCCACCCCTCGTCTGCTGAACCAATATCAATGCCTTTTGAGTGCACAACTCCCAAATACCAAGCTTTGCACCAAACTTTCCACCCCTATTAGGTAACGCTATCTCCATGATGCTGCGCGAGGGCCGAAAATGCCGGATGATCGCTACGTCAGCGGGGTTAAGCAGAGGTCCCTGCGTTGGCTTCATCTTCAGCTTCCCCACACATTGATCAGAGATTCCATACGGCTCTGGGTAATTGATGCACAATGGAGGGTTGATTCTGTTTCAATAGAAGACAACCCCACATTCAAGTCTTGACTGTCATTCGCGTGGGTCATTGGCCTATTAAAGCACATTCCCCGTTTATAGGATCGGCTGAGGCTACAACACAATGGCGACCAAAGTCTACGAGACACGAGACTCCATTGCGGATGTCTATGGACCGCGCACGCCGTACAAGCACGAGTGGCCGACTCGATGCGACGTACGAACGCTAGAGGAGCCGGAGAAATGGGTGCAGAGTGCTTGTGTGCTGTGCAGGTACGCACCCCTCCTACAACGGCCGAAATAATGTCTCCTTACAATCCTTCTAGCAACGGCTGTGGCTTGGACATTGGAGTGAAGAATGGCAAAGTCGTCGGTGTGCGCGGGCGCATCACCGACCGGGTGAACAGGGGAAGACTGGGGCCCAAAGGCCTTCATGGGTAAGGCAGCAACAGATCCTGACAAACCACCTGTTAACGTCCCCAGCTGGGAATCAATGAATCATCCGGACCGTCTGAGACATCCCCTGATCCGTCGGAATGGAAAGCTGGAACCTGCATCCTGGGACGAGGCCATGTCCCTCATTGTGGACAAGACGAAAGACGTTCAAAGACGTCTGACTAACCATGGCATTGGCTTCTACACCACTGGACAGCTATTCCTGGAGGAATATTATGTCCTCGCTATGATCGGAAAGGCCGGTCTAAACACTCTGCACATGTAGGTCGCTTTGACTGTCTCAAGCGCTCTTTTGTCCAGAAAATGAACTGACCATCAAGGGACGGCAACACTCGCCTCTGCACGGCAACGGCGGCTGCCAGTATGCGCGAATCCTTTGGCAGCGACGGCCAGCCGGGCTCGTATACAGACATCGACTTCACAAACTGCATCTTCATGGTCGGTCACAACATGGCGAACACTCAGACAGTGCTATGGTCTCGTGTTTTGGACCGCCTGGCCGGACCCGATCCCCCGAAGCTGGTGGTCGTAGATCCTCGAGAATCGGAGACGGCCAGGCACGCGACCGTTCACCTGGCGCCCAAAGGCGGAACCAACGTTGCGCTGCTCAATGGACTGCAGCATTTGATCTTCAAGAACGGCTGGGTGAATGAGGAATGGGTGGAACAGCATACCGTCGGACGACAGGAACTCGAAAAGACAGTTTCCAAGTATACGCCGGAATATGTGGAGAAAATAACTGGTGTTCCTGCCAATATGCTGGAAGAAGCCGCTGAGATTATCGGCACCAGTGGTAGTCTACTGTCCACTGCGTTACAGGGAGTCTATCAATCAAACCAGGCCACCGCGGCCGCTTGCCAGATCAATAATATCAACCTCTTGCTGGGACATATTGGCAAGCCGGGCAGTGGTATTCTTCAAATGAATGGCCAACCGACGGCGCAAAACAATCGCGAGACAGGATGTGACGGTGAATATCCAGGATTCCGTAATTTCCAGAACGAGAAACACATGAAGGAGATCGCCGACATCTGGAAGATTGACCTTGTGCATACACCGCACTGGAACCAGCCCACCCATATCCAAAATATGCTCAACTATATCGAGGACGGTACCATCCAGATGTTCTGGGTGTCTGGCACTAACCCCCTCGTCAGCCTGCCCCATCTCTACCGGGTTAGAGATCTTCTCACCAAACCAGAGCTTTTCCTGGTGGTGCAAGATATCTTCATGACCGAGACAGCGGCCGTTGCAGATGTCGTCCTCCCTGCGGCACAATGGGGCGAGAAGACGGGATGTTTCACCAACGTCGACCGGACCATGCATTTATCGATGAAGGCTGTTGACCCACCAGGGGAGGCTCGTGCGGACCTTGACATCTGGCTTGACTATGCGAAGCGCATGGAGTTCAAGAACATGTATGGGGAGCCTTTGATTCCCTTTACCTCGCCCAAAGAAGTGTTTGACGAGTGGAGGAAGATGTCGTTCGGTCGACCCCTCGACTGCAGCGAACTGACATATGAGAAATTGACCGGTGGATCGGGCATCCAGTGGCCGTGCACTAAAGAACATCCATATGGCAAAGACCGCTTGTTTGACGACGGGAAATTCTTCACAGATACAGATTACTGTGAGAGTTATGGTCATGATCTGGAGACCGGTACCCCATACACCAAGGCCCAATACCAGGCGATGAACCCTGCTGGGCGGGCCATTCTCAAGTCGGCACATTATAAACCATCGCTGGAGACCCCGGATGAGGACTATCCTCTTCTTCTGTCCACTGGTCGAAACGTCTTCCACTTTCATACGCGCACCAAAACCGGGAGAGCGAGGCGCTTACAGCAAGCGGATCAGGAGCCGATTGTGCAGATTTCGGTTGAAGACGCCAAAGCCCTCCATCTCACTGAAGGGGAGCTGGTGATCGTGCGATCCCGACGAGGGAGTGTTGAGCTCCCAGTAAGAATCGGGGGGATCAACGAAGGACATGTTTTCATTCCTTTTCACTTTGGGTATTGGGACGCTACAGACGGGAGAGCAAGGGCAGCCAACGAGCTTACAATTGGTAGGCACAATGTCGGGAAGACAGTCTGACTGGAATACCGCATGCTAATGAATGCAGAGCAATGGGACCCAGTTTCCAAACAGCCCATGTTCAAGTCCGGTGCCGTCCGCATTGAAAAGTGTGTCCAAAAGGAAGAAGAACGACAAACGATGGCCGTTCGGAGTGTCGAGCAGAAGAAACCAGACGCGGCAAGCAGTGCGGGAGACAATAGCAAGGACAAGAAGTTCATCCGCCGGCTGGAGCTCTGGCTGGGAGCAACTGACCAGGCACTGGAGATGCTGCGCGACATGTACGTCGACATGATCCCTCGTTTGGTCCATGATATGGAGATCCAAAGCGGTCTCCAGGTGATGAGACGCATTACCTGTGAGGTTTTGGACCACTTCAAACCCATTATCGAGCGATACCACGAGAGCCAACAGTACGGTCGCCGGGTGGCCGAGCGCCTACGAGACAGCATCTTCCCTGCGATTGGTGAATCGAACGATCCGTACGAGGCACTGGCAGCGCTGCAGTCACTGGACTTGTTCCTGACCTATATCGAAGGACATCTGACAGCTCTGTCTCCTGTGAGCCAGGCACTCTGGGATTGTGATTTCATCGATGCAGTCAATTTTGCCCAGAAGGGCATTCAAAGGCAAAAAGGGTGGGTTAGCCAGCATATCAAGGTGAAAAGCCCACAGACGCTGCTCGTTCCGTCGGCGGCTCCAGAGGAATTAAGCGGAGAGGATTCTCGAATGGCCGGGCAGATTCGTGGTTGAGCTTGTCAGATCAGAGGGAGTTGGTCTATTTGGCTGAGTACTGAGGAAGCATGACCTTCGAACTGAGCAACACAATGGGGTTATTGCTCATTGGATCCTACTGGAAGATTCTAAGGTCCAGGAAGGACAACTGCCATTGCAGATTCCCATAATAGCTTAGCCACCAGTTTCTCTGTTTTCTTCTCACATATGGTGATAGTCATCCAGTATTCAAACCGACGCAGCCGGTCGCTTGCACAGACACCTGAGGCTAATCAAGGTGAAGGCAACGAACCAATTTGTCAAGCATCGGAATGATTGCTCTTCCCACCATCAACGAGGCAAGCGGAGACAGGTAGTAAGGAAAGAAACGACCTGGCTGTATTGCAGCGAGGATGTAATGTTCCCCGGCTCTGAAGTCCTTGGCCGTTTGCATCCACTCCTTAATCATCGGCAGCAAGGGACGCAACAATAGACTTCGCTTCATCGATATCGTCAAGCTCGTACGGCTTCAATCCGAAACTGATCATGAATTGGGTCCAGCCACCGTAGCTCTTGACGATGGCCCGCTCGGCTGGGGTAAGTGGAGGCTCTAAGTAAATCCACAGGGTAGCAGACATTCAGTACGTCGATCCAGACACATCCACGTACGGAGAGCGTCAGTAGCTGGCATCCTGATGATCGCGGCGTATCACTGTTGGATAGGAGGCAATGTGATTCTGCGAAGATTGGAGTGTATCTCTTGAGCGGAGGAAGTTTACAGGGAGGGAGGAGCTACGGAGGAATAATGTGGAGGAATAAGGTAGTGAGTGGGGAAGACGGAAAGTGCCAGAGAAGTGATTAGTCATGCCGCATGTCCACTTTCATTGGTGGATATCTTGACCGCCCCAACACCACGTGGAAACGGTGCCTGAGGAGTCGAGGCCCCTTTTGGAGAAAAACAAACATCGCAGCTTTAACCCCTGAGGAAAACAACTTTCGATCAATCAAAGATATTTCTCAATAATCTGGGGTTGTATACTCGTTCATTGTCCACAAGTTGATGGGATTCCTCGTATTGCCAGCTTGGTATTCTGATATCCGACCCCACAATAACACACGGCCGCTATATATTTAGCATGAATCATCCGGCTGAATGCCGTTTGCCAACACTCAGGGTATTTTGAGATGGGGCAGAATAGTCACATATCGTTGATAAGACCTGCCGGTAAAATGCTTGACACTATCAGAAATGAAGAAATCCTCGGACAATCAGTTCTGTTGAACACTTCTCCTCTCGGGCTGGCCTCGGCGCAATGCACACTAAGGTATCATTGGCTATACCAGGCACAATAGCCTAAACTTCCCAAGCTACCCCAGAGAAATTGCCTGCATCTAGACAAGGTCATTTCGGTTGTTCCTGCGGGGATGAATAGCCCAATCTGGAGCCGGGAATTCCAGGCCAGCCGGCTCAAATGCAGGATACAATGGCTTCAGTTAATATCAATTGCCCCTCACTTTCCCTGCGACGGCGTATATAAAGTGCTGTACACTCCCTTGCCGTCCATCCTGGTCACTCTGCTACCAATTCAAACGAATAATCCACGTTTTGCGACTCGCGATGCGTTTCTCCCTTACTGCTACCGCTCTCCTCGCTGGCCTGGCCACGGCAGCGCCTTCGAGCAACAAGAACAACGTCAATCTCGATAAGATCGCTCGGCGTAATGGCATGCTTTGGTTCGGCACTGCAGCCGATATTCCTGGAACTTCAGAGACAACCGACAGACCTTATCTGAAAATCCTCCAAAAGCAGTTTGGCGAAATGACTCCCGCAAATGCATTGAAGGTAAGCCAAAGCGCATGCTATTCCTTGATCGGTATTGGCGCTGACACGATGATTCTACCGACGTAGTTCATGTACACCGAGCCCGAGCAGAATGTCTTCAACTTCACTCAGGGCGACTACTTCATGGATTTGGCCGATCGTTACGGTCACAGCGTCCGCTGCCATAACCTCGTCTGGGTCAGCCAAGTGTCCGACTGGGTCACCTCCAGGAATTGGACCGCCTCCGAGCTCAAAGCAGTAATGAAGAACCACATCTTCAAGACTGTCCAGCATTTTGGCAAGCGCTGCTACGCGTGGGACGTCGTCAATGAAGCTATCAACGGGGATGGTACCTTCTCCTCCAGTGTGTGGTATGACACAATTGGAGAGGAATACTTCTACCTTGCCTTCCAGTACGCCCAGGAAGCCCTCGCTCAGATTCACGCCAACAAAGTCAAGCTTTACTATAACGACTATGGCATTGAGAATCCCGGCCCCAAGGCAGATGCTGTCCTGAAGTTAGTCGCCGAGTTGCGGAAGCGCGGCATTCGCATTGACGGAGTCGGTCTGGAGTCCCACTTCATTGTCGGCCAGACTCCTTCGCTGGCCGACCAGCTCGCCACCAAAAAGGCCTACATCGAGGTCGATCTTGAGGTCGCCATCACCGAACTTGACATCCGTTTCTCTCAGGCCCCATTCTACACCGCCGAGGCCCAAAAGCAGCAGGCTGCGGATTACTATACTAGTGTCGCCAGTTGCAAGCAGGCCGGACCGCGCTGTGTCGGCGTTGTAGTATGGGACTTTGACGATGCCTACTCATGGATTCCCGGTGTCTTTCAGGGACAGGGTGGCGCCTGTCTATACAATGAGACACTCGAGGCGAAGCCGGCCTTCTATGCTGCCGCCGAGGCGCTGCAGAGCAAGCCTTGCACTGTATGCTAGGCATTCGTCCTGTGAAGGACCACTTACCCACTGTTGGGTCGGTTTCTAGCTTGTACTAGGACATAGTAAGAGACAAGGTTCTAGTTTAAACATTACCAGAGGCGTCTTAAGACTGTCGTCGACTTTCCTGAGGTTTGCTATTAGTCGATCCATACGCAAGATCGACGACTGTCTACAAAAAGGCTATTTACCATATCACATTGGCAATCAAAAACTGGTTTGAAGAGATAGTCTTGTCTATCTTAAGATGTCTTGAGATAGCACATTGTTCCTTTACCTCTTTAATTCAATCTTGAGCGACACAGGACATTATCCGCTCCTTTGATTCGCGTCGGCTGTAATTACTCAATCCGATAATTATCACGGTGTCTCAAAATGACTATGGAGGACCTCGTGGCGCAATATCAAAGTGGTAGACGGACCACAAATCGCTTTTGGTACGCACAGGCACTAATCCTCTCCGAGTGGTCTTAAACTGCACATAGTCTAAACATATAAAAAGCAAGGCTGAGGCTCTAGGAATCCTGAAAAGATGGTAAAATAGGTAAAAAGACCCGGAGTAAATATTACGTTTTTATTGTGTGGTGATACATATGCGTCTTTGCTAAGCGCAGCAGTACTGTGAAGGACTGCTGTGTCCTCAGTTCCACTCGCGTCAGAATGCCCAAATAGACTGCTGTCAGGATAGTGGCGCGAGATGTGAACGCTCAAACCTCAGAGTTTGAACAGCTCAGATGGACCGTGACGAATACTATCAAGCTTTTGCTCTTCCCATCATGTATTGCTCGTGAAGATTGCCAAGTAAGGCTACGGCAGAGCTTGTTGAGAAGGGGAGCTGACGAGGCTGAACTGCTTGCTTTTTCAAGCTCTCTGCAGCCGTATTGGGTAGACGCGCCTTGAATGAGTCTAGGCCTCCTCACGGGACTTCCATCGCCATCGTATCATTATTCGAAGGCCACGTACTTTACCCTCCATCTACATGTATTCAAGAAATGCAACTCAGAGTAGACGCCGTACAGAGTACAACGTCTTACGGACCCCCCTGGATCTGCAGGGTCTCCGTTTCCGTTATACAAGACTTTATGCAAATTCGTCCCAGGATTATACTCATCCCAAGGGAGTTGAATATGCAGCTATTCTGAGAGAGTCGGAGGGCTGATGCTGAATATTTCACTGTGTTCAGTTGACACTATTCCGAGCGTCGGAGGTATCAAGGTACAGTAGTCTACCAATCTTCCGTGTGAGATAAATGTGATAAGTCTCCCGGATACGAGAAGGGTCTGAAGTCTATCATAAGGCGTCCAATGTGGGACGAGATACCAACTCCTCCACCGCTGCCGTATCGCTACAACTTACCGATCCCGACTGGCTAGGCTGGAATCGGACAGCTGAAGCGAAAGACGCAGGTTCAAGCAATCGGGTCCGAAGCTCAGGTATTTACTAGGAGCATAATGGCGTTTTATCGAAGTTCAGCTGGCGGCTCCACAAGTAGCCCTACACAGAGTAATACGATGCTAAATACTCCGTACCGAGCACACTAATTGACTTTGCGAGCTGTTAGTATAAAATGCACTCGAAAGTCAAGTCTTTCAGAGTCTGACCTTCCAGATCAATCCTCTAAGCAGGCATCGGATAAAAGTCCAAAGCCATGTCTGACGGCATCCACACCTACACTGGGCCTTGGATCAACTGGTCCGAAGGTGTAATCCGTGGAGCCACATTGACCTTGTCGCAGAAGCAGGCAGGAGTCCTGAGTGCCTTTCTGGCCATCCTCGTTTCCTTTGCTGGGACCTTGTTTTGGAGTATTCTAAGCTTTGTCATTCATCAGGCCTATACCACGGAACCGACAAAAGGCCAAGATGCACTGCACTCCCAGCGCCAGATCATTCTCCGCAACAAGACCGCAGCCGGTGCAGCTTGGGCTTTGATCATGCTGCCATTTGAGAATGGTCGAACAGCATCACGAGTCAAGGCCATTGGACGGTCCCTACCATTGGCGGTATTGGCGATTCTCAATATCCTTCTGTTCAGTGTGTCTGGTCTGTTTACAAGTTACATCACCAAGACCGCTGGCAAGTCCACAATCATCGTCGGCCCAGGTTGTGGGGGGTTCACATATAACACCTCAGATTCCATCGTAAACTCAAAATCGTTGCAGGATACCTACGAAGCCGCGACCTATGTCCGTCAATGTTATCAGGGGAGTCCATCGGGGCTCATATGCGGGACATACGCCCGCCCAAGCATACCGTTTACCACGAATCAGAACGCGTCCTGCCCTTTTGCATCCGAGCTGTGCGCTTACAACGATCGATCGGCCTTTGAAATGGACACCGGCCTCCTCGATTCGCAGGCAGACTTTGGCATCAACGCGCGGTCAAAAGACCGGATTAAGTTCCGTCGGGTGACGACTTGCGCACCAGTCAAACATGGATCCGGCCTAGGGACAGTCCAAAACGACTCGACATACGGTGAACTACTCTATATTAATGCTGGATTAAAATACTATATGGGCCAACCGTATACAAACTACACCTTCATATACACTCCGAGCCCGCAGGTGGATGGAATAGGGTACACCCTGAGGTGAGTCGTTCAGGATAGTCCGAGAAAACATGCATGCTAATGCCAATAAACCAGCACCGTCTTTTCCAAAGGCGACCCCACGGGCCTCCTGATGACGACTCGAACATGGGTCCCAGATTCAAGGATCAATCAAACCGACGCCGACATTACTATGATGATGCTGAATCAGAACGGTGTCATGTACTTGCAACCGAGCTATGATCCCTGGATCACAGCTGACGTTGAGAATAACCTCAGCGTGGAGAACACGACATACAGTAAGACACTGTGGTCAAAGAGCTATGAGGCAAATCTTCTGGTGTGTGTGGACCAGTATCAGGTATGCAACCCAAGCAGGTCTGGTGATTCCGGCTGCACCAAACTTGGTAGCCAGATGAGTACATTCCTGTCTGCTTTTGAGACTGATGGTGCTACTCCAATTTTGGGGTTCAACCTGCGCCAGCTTACAACTGTCGCCCGGTTCCTCTCTGCAAACACTGACCGGAGTATGTTTTCCAACGTGAATGGACGAGGAGGAGCTGCTTTGAACGGTACGTGAAGGGCAGACAAATCTTGCCTTCCCAAGCTAATGAACCCTCTCCTCATCTCACAGCGTCCATGATGGCCTACCTGAATCTTAATTCATATATTCCACCGAACCAATGGCAGACTGAGGTATGGACATGGTTTGCCACCTCGTTGGCTAAGGAGCAAGCTTGGGCCTTTGAATGGGCAACTGAACCAAAGAATCTCCCTGCCGAGTCGCTTGGTCAGGGGTGGAATGTCACTCCTCCTATTAATGAGGCTGCCCGTTATGCATGCCGGAATCAACTGATGAACAATGCCTCGGGATATGAAAACTTTTCCATCCTTGGGCTGGCTCTCGCACTCATTGTCTGCGGCCTCATTGTGATTTTTGGGCTCACAGTGGATGCCGTAGTGGGCTGGCTGCGACGTGGAAAGACCGTTTACAAGCGGGATCAGTGGGCAGTAGAGGAGACATTGGCGCTGCACAAGGCAGCGTATACAAACCTCGGGCTTTGGCGGGACAATGGAGAGGAAATGCCTTCGAGTTCAATCCTTTTGAGCAACTCAACCCAGACTATTCCGCATGGAGCTGAGCTGGACGCAGAAGGTGTTGGCACAGGAATGAAGCATGGGTATGCCGTTGTTGGGCACGAAGTTCAATGATGCAGGAATCATATAAAACTCCTGTCTGTGCGACGGTCAGACTAGAAAATTAGATGAGTCCCTTCCAGGGATTTGATATCAGGCAACTAGTTGAGCTGTTCTACCCGGGTTGCAGGGAAGACGAGCTGTTCAGTAATCATTCCGATAGATTTCCTCGTCCTAGGAGATGTAGACATATCATCACAAAATAATACAATGTCTTGTGCGCCGCCTTGTCCGTCCCCCAGCAATAGACAGATGCTTGGACAGTTCGAGTCTTTTCTTGGGTGGATGAAGCGTGGCATCCACCATTGCGTCCAACAAATCACCAACACCAACACCTGTGGTAGCAGAACATTCAAAGTACCCATGGACTCCGCTTTCAGCCACAAGCTGCATGATAATTTGATGCCACAAGGCATTCTCCATTCGATATGGATCCACGGCATCGCCATGCAGCAAATCACTTCGGCACCCAACCAGAAACACCGCTGGGTTCTTTTGTGGTTTGCAGCACCTATCAGCAATCTCCATGCCTGCTATCGTGTCATTTATCCTATCACTTATCCCCTCCTCCAGTGGCGAGCCTTTTGCCATTATGTCAAGAGGGGAACAGATCAGAGCAATATCAACAAGGCCCTTCATTATACTTAGGTGCGCACAGTTAATCTCACCACGGTCCTGTGAATTTTTGGAATCTTCCCAGAATTCAAACCTCTTGGCGTATCTGCGATCCTTTGAGTTTGTTTCAATCTGGTATATCGTATTTCCCAGCGGAACAGAAGTAGTGCCGTTGACGCGATCCTCTGCTAGTTTGACCAGCGCGGATAGAAGACGAGATTTTCCTCCGCAGTCGACCCCGCCGACGACGACTTTCATCCTCCGTGGTGCGATGCCTTGATTTTGTATATTAGGGTCTGATCTAGTAAGGAGGGAGCGTCGATGGTGAGTACCTAATCCCATCTGCGTTTCTCGGGTCATGCTGGACCCCAGCGCTGCAATGGCCTCCATGGCTCGTCAACGGTGAGCCGAGCCGGGAAATTGTCTTGCTGAGGAGACGATCTCAACTTTTATGTATATTTTTAGGGCCATCTCGTGTCCCAAGACCAACCCATAGGTGGAAGACACACGAGAGTGAAAAGAGCACTGTCATCAAAGAGACTATGAAGTAGGAAATTCTACAAGGAGGAAGTACAATATTTTACTATGAGAGTAAGAGACATATTGAAAATGTACAGTAGAACTTCAACCTGTTCATATTGGCCTATTCCCTCCCTCAAAGAGTGACTGTTACAGCCTCAATCAGAAATGCATCCTCACATCATTTGGACCTGCGTAAAATTTTGTGTTGAAAGTGTCCCAAATAGTGTCGAAAGTCATTGCAGATTTGATTCATACATAGTTATGCGACCTTTTTAGGCAAGCAAATATGGGGAGCCAGCCATTAATGCTAGAAGTATTCGAATATGCCTTATCTTCCATGCTTAAAGCCAAGTAAGCCAGCCATCCGGCGTATTGCTTGGCCTCGTAGCTGTGTTTCAAACCAGCGGCTGAAGTATGGGCTGCCTCTGAACTCAGGAGACGGAGTGCCTCCTAGTATGATGGAGTCGACGAGAAAGCTATATAACTACCCTCAAGCCAAAGACGATGACTCCAAATTTCAACTACGCCTGGACGCGGGGGAGTCCCAAAAAAGCGTGAAGAATGTATATTTGCAGGTCAATTCGCAAGCAAAGAACGATTCGCTTGTCAGATTTAAGCAGAAAGAGGGGACACATGCCAATCTCGCCTCCGGCACGATCAACGAGAACACGCCAGCTGACTCACAAGAAGAAGGCAGAAAGCTTTGGGAGAACATGGCCAAGCAAGCAAAGGGAAAATTCAAGTGAAACTTTGAGCATTGGGTACATCTATTTCTGGTTGCGCTGCCAGCGGACAAGTTGGATTAAACATGGCCGGCCCTCCTGCGAACACTATCCCATCTCACCATCGTGGTCAAATACACTGACATCTGAACTGGACTCCAGCCATGATTTTACGTTTCAGATGACAGTAAGAGGATGCTTTGATAAGATATATATATATATCCGCACTACTTTCCATCCTAACCTTAGATGGCATCCATACTCCTCTACATAAAGCTATTTTACCTTATATAAAGGCAATATATAATGTTCATATAGTAACTTATTATCTTATTAAATAAGATATATAGAGATCCTAGTAGCGTGGCTAGATACTAGAAAAGAAGGTTGAAATCAGGATACCACCTTAGTATTATGGATATGACCATTATCCATAGTGCAAGTCCAGTGGAGGGCGGGGTTAGATATCTAGCTTTTGGTTCAAGTTTCAACCCTTAACCCGCATGATCAAAGTGCGGATCAACCTATATCCTATCCACAACCAAGCCTAGCCGATGGACGGATGGAGTACTCCGTACGGTAATCTTAAAGAGGCAACATCGGATGCAAATCGGCCTGATTACAGCCGCCTACCTCAAGGGATGCATGGACATTCAGCTCTTGTTTCTATTGAACAGAGGCTGGCCTCCAGGGTCTTTTGAGGTGAGAATAAATTGATACACTCTTTTTGACATAGCTGAGTTCGTTAATATTCAGCGATCAGCCGGGAACCCAATGTTTTCAATCTTTAGGAATTTTAGGAAAATGCACCATCGCCCACCAAAAGCCCGTTTGTCCATATTTTGTCGAGGTAACCCAAAAACAAAAGAAAGAAAGAAAAGAAAGGCCTTCTGACTATTAGGCCAGGCAGACCAATCGGCCGCGAAGAACTCTTTGCATATACAAATGGCCATTTCCTTGTTGACGAACAACGCCAGCTTGATCGACGTTACGTGAGATTTGATATAGATGCTCTTTGCGATATTGCTGCAGTCGCTGGTGATGAGCCATCTCCCATAACTACAATTGAAAAGATGGAGGGGGGCTTCAGCAAGGCTCTTCTGATGAAAAAAGAAAATGGACAACAGGTCATTGCCAAGATTCCCTGCCGCATTGCCGGTCCGGCGTGCTTAACAACAGCGTCTGAAGTTGGCGTTTTAGAATACAGTATGTTTTCTTTGCTTGCTCATTATTAAGTTGCTCACACCAAACGATTAGTTCGAAAACATACAAGCATCCCCGTTCCACGCGTTCTCTCGTCGTCCTCGGACAGCTCGAACCCTGTAGGTGCCGAGTACATAGTCATGGAGAAAGCCGCCGGGGTTCCACTGTTTCAACGATGGGCCGACATGGCGGAAATTGACCAGTTGGAACTCATAAAGAACTTGACGAAGCTTGAGGCCCAATTATCGTCTATCCAATTTCCCGCGTATGGTGGTCTATACCTTCGAGCAGATACAGGCGCCCAGCAATCCACTTATCAAATGCTCAATGAGAGTATTGATCCGTCACACACGTTTTGTATTGGCCCTTCTTGTGATCGTTCATTTCATGTTGATCGGGACACAGATCTCGGACAGTCAAAAGGGCACTTCAACCAAGGACCATGTGAGTACCGTGGATTCTGACAGTGGCACAAGCTAACCCCCTGCACAGGGAACACGATATCAGATGTTGGGATATCTATCGCAAAGCGGGAGCTAACCCGGCTATCGAGCGAGCGCTTGGATAGGCCACCAACCTTCTATCAAGGAAGTGTTGAAGAACAGGCCCAACTTTTACAATCCACAATCACCCTCATGCCCATGTTGGATTCCCATCCAACTCTAGTCAAGTCGAGCCGGCCTATATTGTGGCACACCGATTTACACATGGGAAATATATACGTTGCGCCAGATGAAAGCTCGCAGATCGTATCTGTAATTGATTTTAAATCTCTATCAGTGTTGCCTGCATTTCTTCAGGCACAGTGGCCCATATTTTTGAAGCCCCCGCAAAATTACCCGAAAGGGTTTGTTCAACCAAAACTTCCTGACAAGTTGGACGAACTGGATGAAGAAAGTAAATCCCTTGCTCAACAGGAATGGTCCCAGGCAAAGTTGGCAAAGGCATACGAAGTTTCAACCTACCTTGAAGACAGATTTGCCTATGATGCTATGAATGTGCCGCGTGTCTTTCGAGAGCTTTTTATTCGGTGTGCAGAGGTCTCCGAGGTTGGAGTTGTTCCACTGCGAGCGTGCCTAATAGAGATCTTTCAGAATTGGTCGGGCCTGGGATTTACTGGACAATGTCCTCTCTCCTTTACTGAAGAGGAAATCAATACACACGAGCGCCACTTTGCCGAATATGAAGCTTGGCATGAAGTCCAGCGCCTTGCGTGGGAATGTCTAGACACTGACGCTGAGGGGTGGATTGCGCCTCAACTAGATATTACCGAAAAACAAAGACAGAACCGCGAATTGCTGTCTATGTTCCTCGAGCGGATGGCTGGAGAAAAGTCGCCAGAGGAAGCGAGGAAAATGTGGCCATTTCTGGATGAAGCATGAATTTTTTGAGCGGGTGGTCTGTAAATAGGATTAATCTGGCATTTTCAAACATGGACAGAAGAACGTTTATCCTCCCACAGAACAATTATTTTCTCCCAACTCTATTCTGTGCGGTAGGATTGGAGAGACACCGTGGGGAAAGACGTTCGCTACATCAGGGGCCTGACGGAGACTCAGACTCAAAGCATTTCACTCAATGGAGTACGATAAAACTATATAAACAAACTTTATAATATAGTTCTGGCTATAGCCTCAGAAGCTCTCCTGAAGAAATGTAAGTTGAACAAGGAGCTATTTGGTTAGCTAATGCATAACCCACTCTAAAACACTTTTCATTTCACATTGTAACATTAAGCTTTGGTACTGGAAGGCCCTACTAATGCCTATTAGTGATCTTACAGTCCCACCAACTCCAGGGCTTGAGTCACATTATGTTGGCTGCTTAGCCTGCTTGTATTAGAAATGAAAGCACCTGTCATTCCTAAACCCCAATATAGTATCATGATTGCCGCCGCTGCCGTCCATTCCACTGGCCATGTGGCATTCCCCCCAAAATCCAAGTAGATGCCAACGGCGACATCACCCCTGAACAGGCCAATGGGGAGGCCAAATGGTGGTTACTATTTGTCGAGGTAAGAATTCTGCCACAAGCTCTGTGTGCTGTAATAGAAAGGGTATGATAACAGGGTTTGTATTTTGTGATTTCAGGAACAATGGGTCCCCCGGGCGATTGCCAACATCCCTGACAAGATGGCGATTATGAGGTTCGCCAATGACGAGGATCAGTGGAGACACGGGCAAAAGCGAACCAAGAGTTTCGTGATGATGTTATTCCTGCTGTCAATTAAACTGCAAGCCAAAGGAAAACAAGATAACAAAACAGACTGAAGTCATATCATCAGCGAGTCCCATTGAAGAACGCACTGGCCTACGCTAACGAGATCCTGGATAATTCGCATCTTTACTACGACTCTCCCAGTTTCATGTGCCTACCATCCCTAGGCCCATCCTACCGATCTAACCGGTCCAAATGGATCAAGCTATACATTCTCTCCTTCTGGTTGGACGGTGAAATGGGGCATTGCCTCGACCGTTACTGATCTGATCACGGCGGCATTGATCCCAACCCTGCGACCTTCGAGGCAAAAGCAATGCAACCAAGCTTTGGGCAGCTCTCCGAAAAGGACTGGTGCGTTTGCTGTGAGGTCGATTAATAAGGAACTTGGTTATCCTTACAAGGATTATAACGCTAAGCACCAATACGAGCGAGCCAATGTACCGGATTACGAGAAGACCGACCCGTCCTTGAAGGAGTCAGTTTGTCTATCGACGGACAAATCCGGCTCTCTGTTCTGTCAGACCGCGAAGCTCCAAGCTCTAAGGGTTGTTGCGCAATCATGCCGGACACAGAATTGTCGTTATGTTTACCGTAATGACGGCTTGACTTATTCGAGGAGGTTGACGATATTTTAACTCATGGTTCTATGGAAAGCGACTGGAGTTTGGGACGAACGGGTGGGAGACGCTTTTGGGGGGATCACATTGAGGTCCATACGGTAGATGGAGGTGAGTTCTGGCTCCTGCGTGAGGACTATGGGGTGACGCTGACACTAGCAGACCATTTATCCATGATGGCTCCGCCGTTTTCGGAGGCAGTCGGGGCAATTGTCGTTGACAATGTCGCACGAGCCGTGGCTGAGATAGGGCTGTAGCCAGTTAAACGACACTTTCCAGTGTGCAATTTGCCTCTTAGTACAAGCAAACAGAGGACCTTCTTGGGACTTAATGACCCGGATGATCCGTGTTCCTTCAAAAGGAGCCCTTGGACATTACTCACTCTTGCGCTTAGTTAGGGCCAGTGGGCGCTCAGAAAGTATTTAATCTGTGATGATTTAGAGAAAGGCGGATTGGTACTATCCAAATCCGAAACCATAACGGTGTATGTGCAAGTAGAATATCAGCTTTATTTCCAGGGAGATACGGTGGGCAAAGAACTGTGTAGACAGCTGGTATCCAGTGCAGACAGAAACTGGCAAGGATTTTTTCAGGAAAAAGCACAAGGCTCCCGTTACTCATGGGGAGTACTGACAAGAGATAACCAGGTGATGTTAAGCTGTGGCCAGAGTGGGCGTAGACTTCTCCGTTCTTCGCGGAGAGCTTCTTGATAGAGCCCATTCACCAGTGTGAACAGTAACAGTTAAGCGAGCAACGATTGCCCCGCCACCACAATTTTGCATCAGATTATTCGGCCAGGCTGGACATCAACTCATTGTTAAGGAGGGCATGCGGTTTCGCGGATTGACTAGGGTTGGTCAAAGGAGAATCAGGTAATTGTATCTGCCGTACCTGACAACTATGGTCATTGATCCTTTCCGAGTTGACCGGGTCAATATGCCCAACAAGTCGGTGCAGTGGGCATTGAGCCTAGTATGAACCGGGCAAGGGAGCTAACAAGACTTAAAGGCCCATAGGATAGCTAATATTAATCAGCCATACACTCCACTTTTCCACTTCCTCGCGGGGTTGACGTCCAACATGCCGGTCTTAATAAGTGGTTGTTTGATATAATAGTTAAGAAGGGGTGACGCCAGAAGGAAAAGACGTCAGCTTTCGGCGAGGTGCAGGCCGGTAGGGGCCAAGGTCACCCGGGGAAAAATCCACACGCTAAAGGGAGGAATCAGTAAAGCGCACCATGAAGCGACAGGCGAAAAAGAGCCTCCTTTGTTATATAGTGCTGTTGCGAAAGGAACAACGACGGATAGATGAATCAGATACATCCCAGCATATAAAAAGACCTTCGAATTCTGTTAATAATGGTAAAATGTAGATACCTCATATAATAATAAGCCACCGGCCGCCATGTTTCCGTGCTGCATCAGAGGCGCAGGTCTCACAACAGTCATCTGTCCGCAGCAAGACATTTCTCTCAGGCACTCCACCACTGCAATCATCCATGATACCAGCAAGGACTAGCCAGCGGGCCCATTTGTTTGCTTTGACCAAACAAATGCAAATATCACTCTCAGGAGACTCAGTCCACCTAAACCCGCTGGCTGTGACCATCCCATCGTGCAATCTTGTCATGATGGGACGCTGGCTCTGGTGAGGACATGATTCCGTTAAAACACACGCCCACAAAGCACGGTGGAGCTCCCTATAGGATGCATGCAAGAAGATAGTCTTTCCTTTTGTGGCAGACTGGGCAGTTCCAGTGTCCATATCTTCGAAACGAACCTCAAAACGCGTTGTCTGCCAAAACTCCCTCTCCCTACTACTGTAATATTCCTTTGGTCTTGATACCGTTGTCGCACACCTCGGTATATATGAGCCACCACTTTCTAAAACAACAGGGTCTGGCGGTGTATGGCCGCCCATCCATACTTCGTCCAAAATGCGAAATTTTTGCTCGTTTGTGACAATGTTCGTTGGAACTCCACGCTTCGCATACAGAAGCTGGCAATCAATTTCCGCAGGGTCATTATCGTTGAAATTGCTGAGGAATATAGTCCATCCCCAGGCGCTGACAAGACTCATTCGCCTCCTATTTGACCTAGGCTGATCTGTGAATTCATGGGGGATTAAGAGCCTTGCGGCTATATTAAACCAGTCAGCTTCAGTGATAAGCAAGTACTCCTTGCCATTCCACTTCGAGAGCCGCTCATAAATTCCATCCCTTACAACAGAGTATAAACCGTAAGAACAAAATGCAAGTGGCATATCATAGCAGTCTCGAATATTGATAATCTTGCTGCATGTCAATAAAAGCGTTGCAACCATCTTGATGAATTGGGCATAACCGTGGATGTGCGATGTATCGGCAGTTGAAAGTGAGGGATGCTCCGTATTGAGCCGCGCAAAGTCGACTGCAGAATTATTCCCGGAACATACGAGGTATTCAAGTAGCCTCTCGACTGTTTGAGTTTTGAGTGCATCAGTATATGCATCGGCCGTGGCCGGGTTCCATGGGACTCCCGAAAACAATATATCTGCCGCGGCCCTCAATCGCCATGATTCGACACTGTCGCGGGCCTGGATCAACGGCGTTGAAACACCTTTTTCCTTCAAGTCAACTCGATATAAAAACGGGGTTACGACCCTGCAGAATGCCAAAGTAATGCACACCAACTGCACCCTCGAAGGAGCCATATCATCCTCCTTGGCTTTAAAGCGATTGACCAGTTTTGTGCCATAGCCCTTGAGCCGACATCGCTCCTCGGAAATGATGCGAGCATGGATGTTGTGCGACAATTCAGTTGATAGAAGAATTTCCATCTTACTATCAAGGAGATATACCTCATCCGTCAGGTCTATATGATCACACCACTTGATGGTGATCTGGGGGCTTGAAGAGTGCCCGAAAAGAACATCGCCGTCAGGGCTGCCCTTCAACAATACAGTAAGACCCAAGATATGATGCGCCCATACCACTAGCGGAACTAACCCAGCCTGGCTGGGAACAGCCATGAGTCGATCCCCTGGGAAGGCCTGAACCAAGCATAAATAATCCATCGCAGCGAGGAGCAAATTTGGAGTGAGTACTCTCCATTGCAACTCATCAACACTGGTCTTGTTGGCCATGAATGTACAAGTTTTGGGAAGCTGGGCCTCCACCCGGCCGATATATAGGTCCCATGGAAAGCTGCTTGTTTGCGATGCACATACACGAAGAATCTCACAAACGCCTTCGTAATTTGCTGGATTTGAGTCGGGCGCACCTAGGTGATGACGTTCATTGAGGCAGGCAACTAAATTTGTGGCCAGCGTCGTCCGCTCGTGCATGAACCCAAGGAATGACAGTTGAATAATTGTTGATAGATAATGCGACTCCTTCAGCGCTCGAAGCACTGTAGGTCCAGGGCCAGAAGCCAGCCTTATTTCACTGGATGGGTATATCTCTTCGAATCCCGGTATAATTACAGTACTTCTGAAGAGCCTCTCCAATCCTGTATCTAGTTCTGCTCTCCCAATCACAGTCGCAAGGTCTTCTTCGAGAATGAAGTCGGATCCCGTCTTTTTGAGCTCCCTGATTTGCTGAAGTATGGGGCCAGGGACGACGGACAGAGCCCCGCGCACAGGAGGAAGTTTGGTGAGCTCATCGCGTAGCTGGAAAGAAGTTGGTTGAGCCATGAAAGTTTGCTCAATGTGTCTTCATGTGAATGTCGTTACGTCTGAGTGAAACTCTTGATGCTAAAAGAGAAATGAATCAAAGTGCGGGGTAGTTGTAGTCTTGTACTTCTGTTGCCTGAATTATGAGAAGCATCTCATTGGCCTTGTGTGTTACATTGCTATCAGAGGAGCCTCACAGGAGGAATTTGGTTGGTGCTTGCCAGGTATCCCTCGAACAAGAAAGGATCAGGCAGCTATGCTGAAACAGCATATCTTGGCGATGAAATGTTAGAGCCTAAGCAGGTAGCCTCCTGCAGGAAAGCACCGCTTCGTGGAATCTCTAATAACAAATCTTAGTTCAACTGCTCTCCCAGAGTTGTACATATATCATGGAACATATGTTGTCGGCGTTGCCTTGTCCTAGTCACAGTACAGTTGTTAGATTTGTTAGGAAACTAAGATACAGGTGAATGTATACTAAGCGCCAACAAACAGTCGTGATTAAACCGAAACCTGTGGCATATATGGAACGCATATGCAGGTTGATGGATACCGATCGCGATGCGTGACAGGTATGCTATGATCTGGAATTTGACTCCATCGCTCCTGTTTGCGATTGAATGGCTCGATCGATGATTTCCATGGCTCTGAACAGTTCATAGTCATGTTGTTTCGGCGTGACCACCTGGATGCTTAAAGGCGAGTCCAGATATACTTGACGGTTGACAGATTTTTCCTGCCCTGTAACACTCAGTCAGCCATGATCATTTACAACATATGCAAGCAATCAGAATGCATACACAGTTCACGGTTTACTCTATCCCAGCTTCCAAGTACTGGAGAATCCATATCATTGCCGCTGTCGAGATCTGATTCGGTGAAATTGCGCACCGGGATCGTCCCAGCTGGACAGTCCAGAAGAACAAAGCTGGCGGTGTAGCCGATGGCATTGAACCGATCAATCTCGGGCACAGGATGAGGGGCGACGGGAGTAATAATCGCATCGATCCGTTTCGTGCAATCGCCATTCACTGTCCACATCCCAAGCAACTCCTTTTCAATATCAGATCTCTGTTCTTGTAATTCAATTAGCTGCTCCAGGCTCAATGCCTCCCTTCGTTTCATTCTCTTCTGGAGCCATGGGATCAAAGGCTCTGAGGTGCTTTCATGAAGATCCAGCAGGCCCCCCCCGCCGTCGGCGCCCATGAGCCGCCCTGCTATCCCCTGACATTTCCTCAGGGCTGGTGGCACTGGGACGTCAACTACCCGGACACCAGGAGTCCGCCGGAGAGAATCGGCAACTTCGTCCAAGACTTGAGCAACTGGGGGAAGAGGTGTGACTAGATCGTCCGTCCTCAGCACCCCAACTGTAAACTCTCGCGTCCGCTTGTCCGGCCCCAGGGACTCGCCCTTCCAGCGACCGGGGATGCAATCCTCCCCAAACCTCTCTGCTATGGGTATAATCTCGGCCAGGACGGTCCCCAAATCTGCCACAGACCGTGCCAGCGGTCCAGCAACGCCCTGGAGCGCAACCCGACCGAGACCGGCTGGCTGACCAGTTACCACTCCACCGAATGGAATCCGGCCGACGCTCGGTTTGAATCCGTACAGGCCGGTGCACATGGCAGGCACGCGAATACTGCCTCCAATATCCGTACCAAACCCGACCATGGACCCGCGCATCGCGACGAGGGCTGCCTCGCCACCGGAGCTGCCGCCTACTGTGAGCCGGTGGTTGAGCGGGTTCAAGGTGCGGCCGAAGACGTGGTTGTAGCTGTCTGGGGCCGCCATGCCTTGTGATACATTCGTCTTGGCAATGATCACCGCCCCTAGTGACAGCAGCATGTTGACCAGCCGTGCATGAAATGTTGAAGGTTTGAAGGCCAGCGCGGTGAGGCCGATGCACGAGTCAACACCTTTGATTCGGAAACAGTCTTTGACGGAGACGGGAAGTCCGTGGAGAGGGCCGACGGGCCTTCCCGTGCGCTGGAGAACGCTGTCCAGATGTTGGGCCTGTTGTATGGCGCTTGGAAAAAGCGGCTCGGTCAAACAGCGTGTAACCTGGTGAGCAATGGCCGCTCGCTAACCCCATGGGCGTACAGAGACACATATTTAGCGACGTCGATGTTGACCAGGGCAACCAACCTTGGAAAATGCCCTCACAACGTCCTCCGCGCTTAGCGTTCCCTGGCGCATCTGGGCCAAAAGCCCCCGGACATCCCAATTCTCGGTGATGCTGAGCTCTTTCGGGGTCAACAGGCCTGATCTTCGTGGGATATCCATCACATTCTCTCTCGGGTATGCTTGGCTACGTGTGACGGCTATTGGCGGAGAAAGCATGTCGGCGGGAATCAGACGAGCTGGGAGTCTCCATTCTGTGGGAATGCCAGACTCCAGTTGTGCTTGTTTGCGCCGTGTAATTTCCAGATATACTGGCTCCGACAATCGAGTCATGTTTGTCACTTTTGTACATGATTAATGAGTAGGTGGGGGAGTGAAGTGTGTCGGGGCTATTATATAAAGCTGACAGCCATCAAACCACTAGGCCAAAAAGGTGTCTAGCTGGCCGTTTCTAGCCAGTAGAATACTAGAAATGATCGGCATATTCTGGTTGGCAGAGGAAGTGAAAAATCATAGGAGGATATTAATGATGCGCGTGTCCAAAAAGGAACAAGGTAGACGGAACAAGGTAGCAATAATTCTGCTCTTCTTACAGCAAACGTCTTTCTGATTGCGCATCGTGCATGGACCTGAGTCCTAGGAAGATTGGAGTCTGTATTATTTATTCTAACCGCTGCTCGACGCTAACTGGCTGTAAATCACTGCTGTTCTTGGTGATTTTCTCCACAATCGACCGGTTTAAATGGGGAATGGGTTTATCTTTCTGGACCCGGAGGCCTCGGGTGATGCGTGCGATCATGGAATAGAAACCCAAGACGATGAACACCTCGACGATCTCATCTTCGGTCATCAAAGTCTTTGCCCAAGCAATTGTTTCTTCCGTGTTGGTCCAGGTGGCCACCGACTCGTCCACCAGAGTGATGATACACTGCTGGCGCTCGGTCCAAATGCCCATGGCGAACAGTTCTTCCGATTCCAACCCCTTCCGAAGCGCCTCGATCCTCTCGTCGCCCATGCCGTGCACACGCGACACGGGCTCATTGATGCCAAACAGATATTCGGCACCCACGGTGCCAGCCATGCGGAGAACAACGAGCTGGTAGTCTAAGATCTGGATCGTGCGTGTCTTACCGTCCAACAGCGCATTGAGGGTGTCGAGGATCGGTGGGAACAGACCGGGGGACCGTGCGAACAGGCGAAAGACATTGCGATCAATTGGGAATGCCCTCAGTAACGCTGCGTTCCCTTCATGCGCGGCATCCGGGTTATAGATATCAATTCCCTGGACCAGTGGGTGGGAGGAGTTTGGAGTTTGGCCCGGCGGCGCGGATTCCATTGCTTGAGACATCATGCAGAGCACTGTCAATATTCAGTGCAGAGAGAACAGGAGTGGAATCGGATGTAGTCGTCACTTGGATCGGGACTCTGTCGTATGCCGTTGGTGACCCTATCATGCTGGGCGAGGCGGCTTGAAACGAGAGTGAGTATATAACCCAAACAGTAGTCTGAATGGCGTTCCCGAGTAACATCCGTGAACATCCCTTGGCCGTAGATCGTCTTTTTCTCCAAGCATGAAGCCTAACTCTGGTTGGCTGCTCTCCTGCATGGCTTCACTTTAGTGTCGGCGGCAACGCTAATCCTCGCGCAGTTGATTTAGACGTCTCGCTCTTTATGTCTGCGCGGCAACGCTAATGGCCTCCCTTGTCAGTGTTAGATGAGTGTTTTTAATAATAATAATCCAAAAGACAGGTCAATGAGCCCAGAGCGATTAATCATGCTGACAAATGGGTTTCAACTGTGGTGATCGCTCGGCTAGCAACGAATTTGCCCTGCCGTCCATCTTAAGATCCAATATCCCAATGGCCCCTTCACGAATCCAGTCGACATCCATATAGACAAAAGTGCTATCCTGATCATTTTGGACAGTTCCTGTTCGGCATTTGATCTTTGGTTGTCGGATGCCTAAACAGAGCCTGTCTTCTATGTCGGATACAATGGCAGCCGACAACAAGCCTGCCAGTCTTGCGAGCAATGACACCAACCTCTCTCCCACAGAGCGGGAGGTTTCAGAAAAGGCAATCTCGACAGACTCGGATCCTGAAGCACAGCGAGGAGGAGACTCTGTGCCAGTGGATCCCAAGTCTCCCCCACGAGAGATTACCGGTTGGAAATGGTTCCTAGTCGTGTTGTCCATTTACAGTTCGCAATTCCTCTTCGCCCTCGACAACACCATTGTCGCAAATGTGCAACCCGTCATTGTCGGCCATTTCAACTCCGTCGAAAAGCTGCCATGGATCAGCGTCGCCTTCCTGATTGGCGCGGCCGGGACGAATCTGATCTGGGGCAAAGTCTTTGGTCAGTTCAACGCAAAATGGACTTATATCCTGTCGGTTTTTGTCTTTGAAGTCGGATCAGCCGTCTGTGGCGCTGCGCCCAACATGAACGCCTTGATCATTGGCCGTGCCATTTGTGGCGTGTCGGGATCGGGTATGTACGTCGGACTCATGACCCTCCTGGCGGCCACAACCACCATCCAGGAGCGACCCCTGTACGTTGGTGGAGGAGGCTTCATCTGGGGTGTCGGCACCGTCCTGGGCCCTATCATCGGCGGCGCGTTTACTGACTCGTCTGCCGGCTGGCGGTGGGCGTTTTACATTAACCTATGCGTCGGCGCCGTCTGTGCCCCAGTCTACCTCTTCTTGCTTCCCAACAAGGATCCCCGCCCCGGCGTCAGTCTGCGGGAGCGCGCCAACACAATGGACCATATTGGAGGTATCCTCACCATTGGCGCCATGGTGACTGGAGTCATGGCTGTGTCGTTCGGGGGTGTGATGTATCCCTGGAATTCGGGGCGGATCATCGGGCTCTTCTGTTGCTCGGGGGTACTGTTCATCCTGCTCGGCCTGCAGCAAGTCTTCACTATCTACACAAGTGTCGCCCACCGCGTGCTCCCTGTAGAGTTCTTCAAGAGTCGGACCGTGTTGATTCTGTTCGCCGCAACCGCCGCTGGTGGGACGGCCATTTTCGTCCCCGTCTACATGGCCCCGCTGTATTTCCAGTTCACCCGCGGCGACTCGACCCTGGAATCCGGCGTCCGTTTGCTGCCGTTCATCGTTCTGATGATCGTCGCTGTCATGGCCAACGGCGCACTCCTCTCCAAATTCGGGATGTACATGCCGTGGTACCTTGTCGGAGGTATTCTGGTAGTCATCGGCGGCGCCCTGATGTACACCGTCGGCCTCCACACATCGGTGGCACATGTGTACGGCTACACCATACTCATTGGTGTTGGCGTGGGTTTCTTTGCCCAAGCATCATTCTCCGTCGCGCAGGCCACCGTGGCCCTGGAGCTGGTTCCCTCTGCCGTGGGTTTTATTTCGCTAGCGCAGATTACGGGAATCACCCTGGCCCTCGCCATCGCCAACGCAGTGTTTTTCAACGAAAGTGTGAGGTCCTTGAGGACGATTTTACCTGGAGTGGATCCCGAGCAAATTAAGGATACGATTTCAGGCACCCGATCCGAGTTTTTCCAGAGTCTCGTGCCAGGCGTCCGCGAGCAGGTGCTGGAAGCGCTTGTGGACGCCCTCAGCAAGTCTTATATCCTGGTCATGACTGCTGGTGCGTTGGTGGCTGTGTTGAGCCTCCTGATGAAGCGCGAGAAGTTGTTTCTTGCTCCTTCCGGAGGATCTTGAGGTTGGCAAACCACGAATCAGGGCGTGGGGACCCGACGTCCCACCCCATCCGGCTCTGCGTTTTATTAGAGAAAAATGTGCGTCCCTTGCTTCTTTGGCTGCCCATAGTTTGCTTTTCTTGTTTGTGTCGAGCAGGGCAGTGAAGGCGTTGTTAGGCATGCAAAACCATGGCCCTACGGGTTCATATCATCACAACCCCGGAGGACGAAGGCATCCCCGATGAGATTTATTCTAGATAAGACTGTAACGACATGAATGAGAAGAGGCGGATACTTATAACTGGTATTCGGTATAATCCCTTTCACCTAGCACCAAAGGTTACGATTAGTGTAGAAGAAGGCTGTAAAGAGAGTAGACCCCTAGTGGAAGAGAGCTATGCCACAATATATGACCAAGGTACAGAAGTAGATTGATTGCCTGACTACCCATGGACAGTTGATACTATGCTACTTTTCGGCCTCAATGCTTGACAAAGATGCTCCGCCAAGTGTCCTGTGAATGGCCCCTTGCCCCTGAACCACTATGCCCTTTGTCTTCTCCTTATTGATCGATCATGAGGGAGCACGTGGTTGTTTCACTTGCACCTCCGAACCAGTCAATGGCCGGGGCCCGTCGAGCAAAGACGGAGGCCAACGTAAACTCCCAGCCAACTTCGATGCCTATCTGTATATTCCACGAGTCATGGAGAAAGCAGAGTGCAGCCAATTATGGGCGGCGTGCAGTAGGCAGCATGCAACAGTCAATACCTGAAGAATATCAGGAATACGAGCGCCTTTCCTCGGCAGTCGGGTGTTTCCAGTGGCACCGGAGCGGCACGAGCATGCATGGCTCTCTTGCCAGAAGAGAGCAGTGCGCCTTGCTGCGGCCCCCACGCCGCGCGCAAAGCACGGTGGTTAGTCCTGCCGCCAGGAACTAGCTCTCCATGTGGCAAGCCCTTCCCACGCTCCGGACGCACAGTGGCCCGGCGCACCGCGGTAGGTGTCGACATGGGTCGTATTGATGGCAGACCTTGCCAAACCCTGCCAAGCCAGTGAAGTACCACATAGACTGTATAGAGAGAACTTTAAACCCTGGGTCTACCTGGACCTGAAAGTCAAACATGAATGAGCTGTGCTTCATACGTCCTTCGGCCAGATATCATTCAACCTGATTCAATATGGCACCATACATCGATTCGCAAGACGATTCTCCCTCGTCGGTAGACGCCTTTTCACACGTTCAGCCTACCAAGGATGCCAATGTTGCATCCCAGTACTGGGAAGAGCTCCTTCGCAGCGTCGGATCACAAACGCGGCTGGCATGCCTGCCTCTAGACCACCAATGGCCTCGTGCGGAAACGACAGTACTGGCCTCCGACGGCCTGCTGGAGGCAGCCATGACGTTCGGCCGTACACACAATATCACCCTGGAGGACTTGATATACGCCGTATGGGCTATCGTTTCTGCGAGGCAAACAGTTAGCGCCCAATCCACAGTCATGTTTACCGTTGGTGGCCGCAACCAACCCAGCGCCAAACAAGATACTACAGAGAATGGAGGAGCCGAACAGGACTACCCCCTGGTTCTATCCGTGCCTGAGGATGTAGATATCCTCTCGTGGGTTCGTCATGTGCGCACCGCTGCAGCCGCAGCTTCTGCCCTGTCATACATTGGATACGATCGGATTATGCAGACAGCCGAGGGAATACGCCCCCAAGTGAAACTGTCCGTCACTTTTGAGGATGACAGCCACGACACGATGGCTCCAGATGATGACTTTCCCTTGGTATTCAACGTCATCGCCTCGGCCAGCCTGAAACTCAGCATGCGGCACAACGCTACCGTCCCAAGGGGGGATGTTCGAGCTCTACTGGATCGCTTTGCAGTAACACTACAACGGGTGACAGAGAACCATGATGCCAAAGTCTCGTCAGTCGATATCATGCCTCCAGCTGAAAGACAGCTACTGCTCGACTATGGCAAAGCCCCTCTCAAGCCGAAGAGCGGTATGGTCCATTCTCTGGTCGAGGAACAAGCAAAAGTGCGGCCGGATGCAGCTGCCGTACAGTTTGAAGCAGAGCCACCGCTCACCTACTCTGCCTTGAACAAACGCTCAAATCAGCTGGCTCGCCGAATCCGCCAAAATGGCGCCAAATATATCGCCGTACACTTGCGCATGTCTACGGATTTCATCGTGGCACTTTTGGCTATTCTGAAATCTGGGGCAGCATACGTGATATTAGATCCCGACGCTCCCGTTGCCCGGAAATCATTCATCCACGAGGACCTCCAACCGGGCCTGATCCTTGTCGATAACAGTACCGCAGGTGAGCTGGACAAGGAGGCCCAAATTGGGGACCTACTGTCTCAGTCCTCCAGCAACGATACCGGTGATCTTGTGCATGTCCAGGACCCAAGCAGCGTTGCATACGTGATTTACACCTCGGGGTCTACGGGGAAACCGAAACCGGTACTGCTGGACCACCAAGCTGCCTTTAACGGGCTGTTGGCCTTTCCGCCAGTTGCAGACCTTCGCCAGTTGCTCTTCTTTAACCCAGCCTTTTCGGCAGCCCAGAGATCCATTTGGGCCACTCTCAGTGTGGGTGGATGCCTGTGCCTCGCCAGCAAAGAAAACCTTACCATCCACACGGCCAAGATGATCAATACCATGAATGTCAACTCGATCGATATGACCTCATCTGCAGCCGCGTTGATATCGCCGGATGATGTACCGTCGCTTCGACGCATGGTGCTGGGAGGCGAGATGGTCAACCCCACTGTCATTCAGACATGGGAACACCGGGTCGAGCTGCTCTCGTCCTACGGCCTCAGCGAATGCACACAGCTCAACTGGCGTCATCGCTTGCAGTCGAATGTGAGCTCCCGCATGATCGGCCAACCATATGACACGACGACCTCCTATGTCCTTATTCCTGGCACCACGGAGCTTGCGCCTCTACTGGTCCCCGGTGAGCTGTGCCTCGGCGGTGCTCAGCTTGCCAGAGGATATTTGCACCACTCCGAAGAGACAACGAAGCGGTTCATCCAGAACCCATTTGGGAAAGGCAGATTATACCGAACGGGCGATATGGCTGTCCGCCACGCTGACGGGTTGGTCGAGTTGGTCGGGAGGATCGATTTCCAGGTTAAGATCAATGGGCACCGGGTCGATCCGGGCGAGCCCAATTCGATTATTCAAGCCAACGAGGAAGTCGAAGACTCGGCCGTCGTTCCAGCCTCTGTGAACAACAGGGCGGTCCTTGTCGCTGCGGTCGTCAGTCGCCCCGACATCGACTGGGAGGCTCTTGTCGGCAAACTTCGGTTATTCCTGGCTGCCAAACTGCCACTTTACATGGTTCCACAGTTCTGGGTGTCCATGCCCGCATTGCCTGTGAACGCAAACGGCAAGGTTGACATGGTGGCAATCCGTAAGACGGTGGAGGCTCTAGGCGAGTCAGGCCAGCTGCTTCCCGAACGGTCTCACCTGGGATGTACGGAAGAAGGCAACTTGACTGAGAATGAGAAGGTGGTCCGGAGCCTGTGGGCCAGCATTCTGTCCCTCCCGGAGTCGGAGATCTCCCTTGGAGATTCATTCATCGCACTGGGCGGTACATCGCTTGAGGCTATTCAAGTCGTGTCACAACTCCAGGTTGTCCACGGACTCAGCCTCCGGGTCGAGGATATACTTCTTGGTGAGACGCTATCCCAAGTTGCAGCCGCCGTGCAACCACAGCTTGCAGAGGAGAAAGCGGACAACGATACCGCCTCTTCTGCATTATTCCAAGTGGCAGCTTCCATTGAAAGCCTCGGCATCGGGACTTCGGAGGTAGAAGACGCCTTTCCTGTGACACCTTTCCAAGAAGCGGCCATTGCAAACACGATGATGGGCGGTACGAGTTACATCTACAGTCGGTCCTACAGCTTTGAGGGCTACAGCGAGGATGATGTCAAGGCCGCCTTCGAAACCCTACTGAAGTCCGACGGGTGGCTGCGCACGACGTTTGTCCCCAAAGGAACGACCTTCCTGCAGGTGGTGAAGAAAACGGCAGAGCTCCCTTGGGACACTTCTGACATGGACGTGACCGAGTACATGGAGAAACGTACGTCCACGGCGATGCATCCTGGGGAGCTATGGTGGAATGCGGCGGCCTTGCCTAACAACGTCCTCGTTATCACAGCTCATCACGCTCTTTTCGATTTCTGGTCCAATGAATTTCTGACTCAGGACCTCACCTCTGTACTGCAAGGGACACCCCGGATCCAGCGACGTGGGCTCCGTCCCTACGTTGAGTATCTCCAACAACATGATGTCGTCGCCATGCAAAAGTTTTGGCAGGAGTATCTCGATGGTGCCGTGCCTAGCCGCCTTAGTTCCCAGGCTGCCCCTGAAAACACGGTTACTGCTGAGGTGCACTGCGACCTGAAGAGCACCGCATCGCAGCGCAGGGTCACACCAGGTGTTCTTCTATACGCTGCGTGGGCCGTTGTTCTGGGCCTTGCCAACTCGACCGAAGATGTGGTCATGGGCGTGACGTTTTCTGGGCGAGATGCACCCGTTCCAGGTGTCCTTCAAATGAGCGGCCCTACTCTCATGGTCGCTCCGCTGAGGGTCAAGGTCAAAAGCACTACACCATTGGATGCGCACCTGGAAAATGTTCAATCCAATCTCTGGGCCGTCGCCAGGAATGCGCCATATGGGTTGCGGAAGATCCTCAAGGCAAGCGGCCAGCCGAAAGATCTCTTTGACACTATGGCAAACTTCTTAATCAAAATCCCCACATTCACGCCTCCTGGAGGATTAAGACAGCTGCCCAAGAGCAATCTTGGAACGGTCGAATATACCAAACTTGAACTTCGCAACGAGAGCTTAGACCGCGTGACTCTGACCTCCACATTGGAGCCGGGGTATGCCCAGGCTCTTGCAGACACTCTCGCGGCCATTTTGGACACAGCCTCTGATGCACCGCTGACCAGACTTGGGGAGTTCAAGTTGGTGCAACCGGTGTCCAGACTCATGGAGAGGCTCAATGATCCAGTGGGCAATGTGCCTGTTTCCGAGGGGCAGACTATCAGGGTCGAGGATCCAGCGGAGAGTCCAGATGCTGAGCTAGCTCACTCTGCGTTGCAGAGAATAGCCGCCTCCCATCCGTCCTGGACGGCGGTCGAGGACATCGCTGGAGCCCGGATCACGTACGCGGGATTAGCTATCAAAATGAACCAGCTTGCAGGTTTGTTGAGAGAAAGGGGCCTGGAGCTGGAGCAGATCGTCCCCATCATGCTCGAAAAGTCGATCAACACCATCGTCGCCATGTTTGGCATTCTCGTTGCCGGAGGTGCCTTTTTGCCCCTTGGCCCAGAGAATCCCCGGGAAAGGAACTTGGGAATCCTCGAAGACTCGGGGGCCAAGCTCGTCATCACTGATCAACTGAATGCGGATTTCTTCGAGGGCACCTCCTACGAAGTAGTCATTATCGATGCCGTCGCATGGGACACAATTCCTCTCCAACGGCAGGTTGTGCCTGGGCTTAATCCAAATAGTCTTGCATATGTTATATATACCTCTGGCAGGTAAGAATATCGTCCCTGAAAACCTATCGTGTTCACAGATTGATCTCTTTTGCAGCACCGGCAAGCCAAAGGGGACATTGATACCCCACAGCGCCATCGTCGCGGCCCTGGAAGGTATACTTTATGCTACGACCCAAGACAACTCCCGAAGGATAATGTGGTCGCTGAACTACACTTTTGACGGTTCTTTCTATCCTCTCTTTCCGACTCTGGCAACGGGTCGCACGCTGTGTGTCGCTCCCCAAAACGTCATCGTTGGCAACCTCGCCGAAGTCATCACAAAGATGAGGGCTGACCAAATCAACCTGACCCCGACCATGGCCAGCCTTCTACATCCGGACGACGTGCCGACCCTGGAGATTCTAGCCACGGGAGGGGAGCCAGTCACTCACAACATGCTCAATGTCTGGGCGCCGCGCATCAAAGTTTACACCTCCTATGGCCCTACGGAAGCAACCATCTGTGTTACGACCCGGCAAGTCACCCCGGACATGAACATTCGCAACGTCGGCCGCCCATTCCCAAACACTACCGCGCTGATCCTTGACCCAGACACAACGGAGGAACTGCCCTCTGGTAGCGTTGGGGAGCTCTGCATCGCCGGTCCTCAGCTGGCCAGAGGCTACTTGAATCGCCCCGAGGCGACAAACAAGGCCTTCCAGGGTACTTCCAATCAACGGTTCTATCGAACTGGAGATCTTGCTCGATTGCTACCCAACGGGGAAATTGAGCTATTTGGACGCAAAGATGATCAGGTCAAAATCAACGGACACCGAATGGAGCTTGGCGAAATCGAGAGCGTGATCAGGCAGGCGAATGTCTTCAGCCAGTGCGCCGTCATTGCCGCAACGGTCCTCAAGAAGAAGCAGCTCGTGGCATTTTGCTCTACATCGGTCCAGACACCGGGCGAGGCAACAGGGGAAGACCTGCTCCTGCCCCCAACGCAGTTGCCCGAGGTTGATCAAATTAAAGCGCAACTGACCACTCTTCCGCAGTACATGGTCCCTACCATATGGCTTCCTGTCTCCAAACTCCCGAGTCTTATCTCGGGGAAAATTGATCGGAAGCGACTGACAGCTCTGGTTGAAGGCATGGCTGACAGCGTACTGAAAGGCTACCTGCCCCATTCTGAAACGTCGGAGATCAACTCAGAAGCAGAGCGGGAATTGCAGTCGCTATGGTCTGCTCTGTTTGACACACCGGCCGAGGACATCCATGCCAATTCCACCTTTCATGCTCTTGGAGGGGATTCCATCTCCGCATTGAACCTGGGCAGTATGCTTCGTCGCCGCGGATACAAAATACAGATCAACGATATCCTGTCCAGCTCCACGTTGCGGGAACAAGCCGCGCTCATGGTCAAGGACCAACCAAATGGTGACAGCAGTGCTGCTGAAAATGTCCCGCAACTGGTGTACCAGCCATCGCAAGCTGTGTACGAACGCCTCGTGGAGCTTGGTGTCTCCAGAAACGACGTGGAGGACATCTATCCTTGCAGCCCGGGCCAGATTGAGTTCTTCACGCAAGGAGAGAAGCCTGACCGGTTCTGGCAGCTGATGGCCGTTCGCACGCTACCTAACGACTTAGATTTTGATCGTTGGATCTATCTGACAACTCAGCTTACGAAGAATAACCAGATCCTGCGCGCTCTGTATCTGCAGACCGACACCCAGAACCCCCAGACGCTGCTCCAGGTGGTGCTTAAGCACCCCATCCTCAATCTCGCCTATCGATCCTACCGCACAGAGGAAGAAAAGCAGAGCATATTGGAAGCCGAGTGGCAAAGACCGTTTAATCCGGCCAAGCCATTCGTGCGGTACACGTTGCTTGAGAACACCCAGGGCACACGCGACCTGGTCATTAACCTACACCATTCCTCCTACGATGGAACCCTCCTTCACATCTTTGACGACCAATTTCAAGCCCTGAACCAGAACCAGCCAATCCATCAGCCGACTCCTTTCAAAGACTTTATCACTCACTTCCTGCGCACACCGAAGCAGCCACAGCTCGACTACTGGACCCGTCTCCTTCAAAACCACTGCTTCGACTTCCCAGCGGCCGTCACCGAACCAAAACTGTCCAACACCGAGGTTGCAAAAATCAACGCATCCCTGGGTATCAACGACCTGGCCAGCTCCACTGGCGTAACGGCCCCAATCGTGTTCCAGACGGCCTACACTCTCCTCCTGGCCCACCTCAGCGGCGCACGGGACGTGATCTACGATAATCTCGTAACGGGGCGCAACGTCGCCCTCGACAACCCGCAACTCATCAATGGGAACTGCGCCAACTTCTTGCCATACCATTCGCATGTAATGGAGGATATGCCCATTGAAACCCTGCTCCGGACCACACAGGCGGACTTTTGGGCCTCGACGGAGAACGGCCTCGTATCTCTCGGAGAGATATATGAGGCTCTTGGTCGCGACCGGTCCACTGCAGCCTCCAAATGCCTCTTCTGCTTCCAGCCATTTGAGCCGGTCACCTCTCAGCAGGATCCAATGCGCTGGATTGTCATGAAGATGAGCAAGAACCGGATGACTTTCAACTATGCCATCCAGATGGAGGTGGTCAAGGCGGCGGCCAAGGGCGAGTATATTGTGCGATTCGGCTACGATGAGAGAGCGCTCTCGTCCGATGAGGCTCGGACGGCGTTGGCATGGTATACTCGGTGTTTGGATGGCATGGTGAAAAGAAAGGTGGTGGGGGAGCTGGAGGTTTAGTGGTATAGTATCTCGATATGTTTGCTACACTATAGTATTTAAATATCTTAATATACCGGGTTTCTTTGGCTAAAGGGTTGGTTAGTAGTCTCATATTAGCATCGGTTGGTTGCTTGAGAATAGCAAGTTCGTACAGGTATATAGTTCGCCAGTCTGTCATCTATATATCATGTCCGCACCAGGATATATTTATCTAAATCCAGTAACCATCAGGTACACCACAACTTAGATTTTCCTACATTTACTTTTATGTTTACTTCTATTATTATTTTCTCGGGACCACTTCTTCCTTATTGACATAATCATCAGGCTTATCACTATACAGTGAAGGAGCCACAGACCTGAAGTATAGGGTGGCTAGTTTTACGTCTAGTTACACCTTTTTGAACAGCCGAGTATATTTCTGATTTCCGAAGCCTTCTATTGAAAAATGAAAAGCGAGCTAAGAACTTCGCGGAATACCTCAACAATCAAGGCTTCTGTCCCACGAAAGCAAAGCGGCGCACCTTCCACGAAAGACCGTTTCTGGCCTCAACAACTGTGTTGGCATGCAGTTTGGAGAGCTCCTCCTTGAGGTCTCCGTCTAGCTTGCTGATCAGCTCCCCAAACAGGCCGAGGTAATTCGTCTGGTCCAGCAACAGTAGGTAGGTGTCGGTTGAGAATTCCTCCCGGACCACATTCTTCAGGCCTTGTTCCTTGAATGTTTCTGCTAGAGCCACGGACCATCTGCAGGATGTTGTGAGTTCACCCCAGGCATGATATAGCGGTCTTTCAAAAAGCGTGAGAAAAGAAAGAATCACTTACGACGCGGGGGTGGCGGCGCGGAAACGAGCATCAAGGCGCTGCAGCAGCTTTTCGGCATTCTCGGATGAATTGGCAGGGTCGGCCTTAACGATCGGGCGCTTGCTCGCGTCGTCATTGGGCTCCTCCCATTGCAGGTAGCCACCGGGCTCTAGATATCGTGGCGGACGCCGTCAGCCCGGCTTTCTCATGACACCATCAGTAGCGGATGGAGACGGCACATACTGAGCAGTTTCATCATGTTCTGTATGACGGGCACTGGATCGCTGCCTGCTTGGTTGACCACTTGCACGAGCAGTCGCGCATGGACAACATCGAACTTTTCTCTGTATTCTTCCGGGATCTCGCCCAAGATATCGAGCTTGCTCAGGGATACATTAGGAGGAAGGAACCCGGGGGCGGGGTACTGCTCGCTCGAGATGTCGAAGCCGTGGAGCTTTGCGTTGGGGAGTTGACGGAGGAGGTCGAGGATCCAAATTCTGAGTGGGCATTAGAATTAGCTCTGATACAAGGCGAGCGTAGAAAATCCATACCCAGTGCCCGTTCCTACGTCGGCAATGGCGAGATCTGGGCGGGAGACATCAATGCACGGGTGCAAGAGATATCCCATGTTCTCCTTCCAGATGTAATGCTGGAGGCTCAGACGGGTCGAAGCCGCGACATTGCGATTGAGGCGATATGGATCCGACGCCGACGATACCGAGTTGCCGTTGGACTGGGTCATTGTAATATCGAGAGAGACAAGTTGAAATTGAACTCAATATGCTGCTGAGATTGGACACACAATGTAAAGACTTCTGATCATTTAAGTACGAGAAGCATACACCACCGCTACGCCAGGTAGCCTAATAGTGTCATTATCTCTCAATCTCTATCGTCCCTGCCCCTCCCAGGGAGCCCCACGTGCTCGTCTGGTCATACACGCTCGCCGCGCTGGAGACAGAGAGCCATCATGGCCTGCCGCCGGTATTAGGTAACCGGTTTACCCGGGGAGATATGAAAAATGTCTAGTCGAGCGCGGTTCGAGGAGAAGACGTCCGATCAGTGCTAGACCGCCGAAAGTAAGAGAACCACGTCGAGTCGGTACACCCCGCGTAGACGGACGGCATGGAGTGGCCTAGCTTTACCGCCAGGGGCCGAAAGGTTGCGTCAACCAGAATATGCCTATCATTTCTATTAAGGTGGAAATGGTTGTGTAGGCACCTTAGGTTGAAACTCACCTACACGAGTCATTGCCCTTGGCACAATCTCCCCGAGCGCGTTGGCCGCCTGGCGGCCTGCTTAGCGCTACCGCCGTCATTTAGACTAGAGACTAGCGAACAAGCGAGACGTCGCCTAGAAAGCCGGATACGAGCTCCCACACAAACTGGGCCGCCATGATGAGATCTCGACCTGATGGTGTGAAGAAATCCGCTTTCCCACTTGGACCGCGCTTTTCCGCGGCCCGCGACGGGGGGATCTGAAGTAAATGGGGCCGGTCCGGCCGCTCGTTCATACAGCTATGCAAGTAATGCGATGCTGATGGGCTGTTGTCGTGCTGTTACGTGGTGTAAACATGTCACGTCGCCTCGTTAAAAGGTCCCGTGACCTGCATGTCAACCACGCAACTGGGATCTATATCTATCAAATTGACCATTTTAATATTGTGAGCAATTCCCGTCTACAACACGCGAGTGGTACTGCTTTTATCTATCTTCTTTTAATCCCTGGTTTGATGCTCGCCTGGCCTTCCAGCGGTGGTCACCGGCTCGGCGGCTATGACCGGTCGTGCCTTAGTACGGATCCGGCTATATACTCCGTTCAGATGGGCCGTGCGCCTCTAACGGAACACGAGAGGCCTGGAATTCAAGAGTCCTGGGGCATAAAATGTAACCTTACTGATACTTCGCCAGTTGAATCTCGGAGATTTTTGTGGGCAACCAGAGTTTACGGGCGGAAGCGGGCCTCCTGGATGCGGTACTGAAAAGATCAAATCGACGATCAATTAGGTTAAGGTTCTTTGGCCCCAGCTGATCTATCTGCTATGGCACGTCCCGTCGTGATCCATCTTTGGCCCCGTAGTCCTCCAGTGTAAGAGGAGATGTCAATCTAATATCAAATTGGGAGCGAATCGGATCGGAGTTTTACGAATTCTGGCTGGGCCAATGAGATCGCTGGATTCTACCATGGATACAACTCGCCTAACTATGACGTTTTACCGAGTTTTATCCTTTGATTATGAAGAGTCACTTAGACGGGTAGTTTGCCAGAAATCAGACCTTCTTTTTATCCCAAAACATCCCGCTTAGTGGCAATTAATGTATTCGCTACCCTATTACCGAGGACCGGGTGAAAGGATACATAGTAATACGAAGGAGGCAGAAATGATCGGCGTGACATCCCTGCATTTCTGCGTTGGCCGTGCACACCCCATGCCCTCCAAGGTTTCATGGGTTGGCTGAAAGGGTTCGCTTCTAGTATTAAGGTACCACGTACCTACCACCCCGAAGCACTACTGCAAGCCAGCAGTTCGTCTAAACCTTCCGCCGGCGGTTGTCCGAATCAGAGCCAATGTCTGCTCTGCAGACTGACTTTCTCTGCAGATCATCAATATTGCCGGTTCTAGGATTGGCAGTTTCTCGTATAAGAGGCCAGTGCGGAAATGCCAGTTCTCGTATAGATGCAAGGTGACGGTCTGTCTCATCTGCATCAATTTAGACTGAAGAATGTTCCGGATTAGGCAGGTAGTTCTCTATATACCCGATGTTTCCACGTAGATTTAGGATAGTAAAGGTCTTTCAAATTCAACTCCTTCGACAGTTTGTGGTCTCGGCTGCGTACCTTCCCCTAGGTCACGGACAGAAAGTGTATCTATCCCCATGATCTGTATGGATCCAGCAGTAAAGCTTGGTAAGCTTAGATTTGTCCTGGTCGAGACCCAAATTACTGACTAGGTGGCAATGCAGCCGCACGGAGTCTGAATGGATGCTGGACCTGTCGAGTCCGCAAGAAGAAATGTGACGAAACTCGGCCTGTGTGTCGTTCATGCTCTTATTTTGGGCTGGAGTGCCACGGATACGGCCCAAGACCGGAGTGGATGGACAACGGCAGACTCCAGAAAGAACAAGCTGCAAAATTTAAGCACATTGTCAGCCAACGGAAATCGTCAAATCGAAAGGAAAGGCAACCCCGGGAAGCGCGTTCGTCGCAGGATTTTAACCAGAGCCTGGGGCCAGTATCGACTGAAGACGCGCCAACACACATAGCATCGTCATCCGCTTCCGTGCCGCTCCCTTTTAACGATTGCAATGATATCGGGGCCCATGGCCCCATTTTTGATACAATTTTAAGTTCCTTTATGGACCCGACATGGGGCGCACTGCCCAACTATGACTATGTAGCTACTGCACCCCAGTCCCTTGTGAACGAAGAGCATCACCAACACCCATCTGCATTTTTCAGGAACATGGACTCAACGCAAAGCTCATTATCGCCCGGATCGTCGGGAGATTTATCATGGCTTGCCCCCGACATGATGGGCGTGCATGACGTGAAGGCTGCGCGGAATGCAATCGGGCCACAAGACGAGATGGGATTTGCCACGAATGGACGGACCCTCTCAATGATGGATGACTGGGCATGGGACTCCTCTTCAAATGGTAATGGCTTCCCCAGTCAGGCCGGTGTGAGTGACTATGCTGCCGGAAAGCCCACTGCTCCAGGACATTTTATGGCTTCTGGAAATGACCAAAAACATAGGGCGCCGCCAGAGGCTCTGATTGAGCCAGTCCGACATAGACGAGCAGATGACACATTATTTATGCACTATCTGGATCGGGTATTCTACATCCAGTTCCCATTTTACCTCTCCCGGAACCCACGAGGAAGAGGTTGCCTATTCTCGATTTTAAGGATGGTCAAGCCCGCGTATCTGGCAACTCTGGCCCTCGGTGAACGAGCCCTTCTCTCTACCCATCCGCAACAGGGCGATGTCACGGCTACCCTGACTCAACTGCGCGCCCCGGGTGGGTACTACGATCTGGCAGCTCAGGGAACACAGCGCTTGCTGCAAGAATCACATACATGGAATAGGAATGCTCATATACTTCACAATATCGAGTCTCTCGCGTCCATCCTTCAGCTCTTATTCTGGGAGGTATGTGGGTTCCACTGCTTTCCTTGTCAAGACTCGCTGGCTTAAGTATCAAGCTCTTTGCCGGCGGTAGAGGGAATTGGCAGGTCCTCCTTGGTGAAGCCGCTCGACTCATCCCCGGCCTTCTAGAGGCGCGAACACCTCTGACCAAACCGAAATCGGCTTGTTCCGACCATACAGCCCCTCTACACCGCATAGAAACACTCTCCCCCGACGATCATTGCGCGACTGGTGTCTTGCTTGGCTCCTTTATATCGCTTGATATCATCGCCTCCGCCTCTACTCGGCGGTCCCCATTTCTCAATATTGACCACGCACAGGCGCTGCGGAATCCTTGCATATCATTGGAAAGTATTATGGGCTGTAGCAACTCAGTTATGGGCCTGATCTTTGAGATATCCTCGCTGGACAGGTGGAAGGAAGAGTCGCAGGCGGTCCGCAAGCTAAGTATTATCGATCTGGCGGAGCGTGGCCGCCAGATCGAGGAACGCCTTCGACAGGAACTTGTGAACATAGACACTCCGCCAGAAACTGGCCCATCGTTGTTAAATCGCTCAAAAGTGCACTCGATCCCCGCCGACCCCGATGTTAACCGGCTTTTCGCCCTCTCAGCACTCATCTATCTCCATGTTGTGATCTCAGGAGCACATCCAGAGCTGCCGGAGATCGCAGATGCGGTCTCACAAGTCATCGCTGTTTTCAAGCGCCTGTGGGACCCAAGACTGCTCCAAAGTGTCTTAGTCTGGCCATTTTGCGTGTCCGGCTGCTTAGCCCTGGAGGAACAGCAGAATTTCTTTCGTGCCATTTTCTCGGCAGCAGAGATTACAGAGTCGACGGTTGGGGCGTGTTTCGAGGCGTTTAGAATCATGGAGAAGTGTTGGGAAGCCAGAAAGTCACGCCCCTTTAATTGCGACTGGGCTTCAATAATGAAACAGCAGGGTTATTATGTTTTGCTCAGATAGAAGAATCCATAGAAATAGAGAAGTCATGATCACAGCGAGAATCCAAACCTCTTCTTCCAGAGGGGATTGCGGAAGTTGAGAATCCACATACATCCTTACCACTCCCATTCTTCGATTTATCAGCCTGTTGTCGACATCTGAGACAGCCAATGGCAAGGTTCGTATGCAGTCCAGTTCGAAAGTCTCGCTAAATCAGAGATGGCAAGTCGATAACTTGATCCTATTATATATATATATATATAGTTGTAGGGGTCTATTAACAATGCAGACCTGATGTGATTCCCTCGGTGCACCGATATGATTCACTTTTACTCCGTTCCAATAGGACTAATGTGATAAGTTCTTAGTGACCTTCAGCAGAGTGGCTGCGTTGTTCACTCTCTCTGCCGCAATATCTCTCCATCGCTAAGAAAATTTAGCAGGGTTATGTAGTCGAAAGATGAGGAACAGTGCTTACCTCAGCATTTGTGAGATTCCCCGACTTCAAGCTGTTGGTAAGACCTGGGATGACTGGCAATTGTCTTTATACCACGCTGACGGTTCTTACAACAAATGCCGATAGAGCGAGTAATTATTCATACCTTGCTCGTAGTCAAGAGCCCTCTCAGTCGCCATATACCTGTAGTTTAC